CGGTGAGAGCAGCGGCGGCGGCGACGACGACGACGACGACGACGACGACGACGGGGAGTATGGCGAGGAGGGCATGATGGATGTGGATGTTGATTTGGCGAATAGTTTGCATCGGGATGGGAATAAGGTGAGCTTGGAGGCCAAGGGGCGGGCGAGGGAAGGGTTGGCGGTGGGTGCGGATGTTGATATGGCGACGACGGAGCCCGAGGCCGAGGACGGAGGGAGGAGCACCTGGTCGGACGCGAGCAGGAGCTTGATGGAGCCGGACTCGAGTACTGGCACGGGGATGGCCAAGGGCTCCGAGACGGCGAGCTTGTCGACGGAGTCGTAGAGGGAAGTTGATGGGAGCATGTTGGGCTCTTGATTTTGGCGATGGGGAGGGGGAGGAAGAGGGAACGATTAATGTCACCTGGGCATCTTATGAGACATGACTATGATTTTTATGGCCATCTGACGAGGTATGAATGCAATGCAATGATGTTTTGTGACTAGCATGTAAAGGCGTTGCAAGTTTTGTATGTATGGAAATTGATACACGAGCAGCTTGAATACAACCGCCAATTTACATTAGTATATATCGTACGGCGTCCTCACTTTGAATCATTCTCCCCCAACTCAAACTCTTGATCCTCATCATCGCTCATCAGATGGCATTACTATACTAGGTTTTCTTAATATCCCTGCTTCCCAGCATCCGATGTGCGTTTGTCCGTTTCTAGTTGCCTGCTAGAGCCCCAGCCCCAGCAGTTGAGGCTCTTGTGAACAAAAGTATGCCTCGTTGCTGGTTTGTGCAACAGTTTTTCTATTCGAAGGTTCTGTCGTCGGCTTACAACAGCCCAGGCAACATGACAAAACGCTTCTTCTTGTACTTGTCACCAAACTCTTTGCGATATGCTCTCTCCTTACCCTTGGCCCAGGTAAACATCTGCGCGGCGCCAATGCTGATGAAAAGCGCCACCGTCCAGTCCCGACTGGCAACAATGATGCCGACCCAAGACAAAATTTCGTACATGTAGTTGGGGCATGTGACAATAGCGAACCCGTAACCAGAGGGGATCTTGCGCTCAGTCCCACCGGCAGAGCGCAGAGAAGACAGGTACAGGTGGACCAGGGCGTTACCAGTCTCGCCAAAGAGGTAAAGAGCAAGCCCAACGAGGTCGAAAGCAGGCTTATCGGCACGAGCGGCACGGGAGTTGGGGTTATAGATGGACACGGCGCAAAGAAGGCCGGACAGAGCCCAGTAGAAGAAACTGTTCTTGAAAACGTTGGAAACCGGCATGGTGTTGGCGGAGAATTTGTGAACGAAGAGAGTCTCGATCTCGCGTTTGATGAAATGGGCCACAATCATGCCAAAGGCCAGCCACTGGGTTGTGGACATGTCGCCATCACCATTCTTGTAGATGTAGGGACGGGCGGCGACAACTAGGGCGTGAAACAAAATAGGTCCAAAGTACTCGATGACGAAGACAGTTCTCCAACCAATCTGGGGGCCTGCGCGAATTGCCTGTTAGACGCCGTTGTTTTCAGCGACTCCCTGGCGTGGATGCAGGTTCGACTTACCGAGATCCTTGACCAGAACTTCGTTGGCGGCAGTCACGTTTGGCTCGTCTGCCACGCGAGCTTTACGGTTCTTCAAGGTCTTCTTGGTAGTGGGATCATAGATGCCAATACGGTTAAAGTCGGAAATTTTGGCTTCTTTGGCGATCAGAGCCTTCAGGTCGTCGACGGTAGCATCGGCAGGTAGGTCAACCGTTGTGGGAAGCCTCTTGATGGGCTGCTTCGGAGCTGGGCATGGGGATTGGTGATTAGCAGAAGTGCCAATGGCTTGGTTTTGCGGGTTGGCCAGAAGAACTGCAAGACAATACACGTACAGCGATTCGTGAGTTTGAGTGTCGTGTTAGCCATTGTGGGTAGATGCCTCGTCTCTAGCAATGGGTGAAGGAGACACATGCGCTAGCACCATCACAAGAAAGCTGTTGGGAAAAGTGATGGGATGTGACCGGCCCTTGCTCATTGCATCGCTCCACGCGGTATGGCTGTGGGTCTCCCAGGCACTGCGCTGCAGGTGCGGTGCAGTCTGGTGCTTGCACTTTCCATGCTCGGCCTACGGAGTACTGTGGCATTATCGGCAGGTGCAACCACGCCTGGGCATTGTCGAAGATGGGGGAAGGGCCCGAAGGGGGGTGGGTGTACATGCATGAATTTACAACCACAATATCTTTGCGCGTCACAGTTATACCATGACAATCTTTGGCAAAAGTCAGTTGCCCACGAACAAGGATCGTGCTTTACATAATGCATGGCCTCTCTAGCTCGTTAGCATTCCTTTCGCGGCTGGGGCCCCAGGGCTATTAATAGTTTACGTCAACAGATGCTGCAGTGTCGACTTCTAGAGAGTTGTCACGTCATCCTACACCTCAAGACGAGCATTGTATAAAACCCTACAACACGGTGGAATCGAGATCCCATTTGACACGCCGAAAAACACCCAGTGCCATTATTCGATTTACGCTGGTGACGAGAGTGTAACAATGCGCCGTCCGCCGTGCCGTAGCCATCAAGCCTCGACTTGGGCTATAATTACATCCAGCAACCGAAACTTGCGACATGGGATATGCCAATGCGCGCAGCCAGGAAATGTACTCCTGGCTGTAGGCTTATGTAGCCTGCCAGGTCATCTTCAGCCAAAAGCGTCTGTTTGTGAGCAATAACGTTTCGACAAGGTTGGGCAGCTCCAAACATAGACCACGGCTTTACTCAACTGCCAGGTGCCGATTCACTGCTCCAAAGTGCTAACAAATCCAACCAACACCTTGTCGGCTGCCTGTCAGCTCTTTGCTTTCTTCGTTTACTCATGTATTGTTTCTGTGAATCGCCGCATCTTCGCTTTTGCTGCTTGGGAACCCGGCTGTCAGCTAAATACCCTCGGGCTCCTTTTGCTTCAGCTTGTCAAGCCGCTGCCCTGATCTGCGTCACGGGCTTTTTTTTTTCATATACTTTGATTCACGACACAGTACCGTCATTCGGAGCTTCTCTTTAATCGCAGGATTCATAACGCTGTTTTCCCTCTTTTTTTTGTGCGCCCTCAACGTCCATTAATCCGACCAGCGGTGCCAACAAACTTTTGCCGTCTAAGCGCCGACTCTACGCCGCCGCACATCAACATGAAAGCCAAGTCACTTGACCAAATCTTCTCTGATTCATATCATCAGCCTCTGGGCATATTCTGGGCTCTCGTTTGTGCTGCTTCGACGAACTAGACCCTCACATTCTCAAAAAGTCTTATCCGCCTTCTTTCTTGCCTTCTGCTCTTTTACTCATACTGGACACTGCTAATACTCGGTGTACAACATTCTCCTTGAAAGAACAGCCCAACAATGAATCCGTGTGCCAACAAGTTCACTCCTCTTTCTACTCCCATATTGGGGTCATCTTCATCTACATTGGCCTTGCACGATGACCATCATGGACCCACGTTGGAGAGGTTTCCATCAGAACAGATCCCGATTCAGACTACTGTTCCTTTACACAATCATCCTAATCAGTCCTTAACTCCTCGCCAGACACCATTCCGTGGCTTCTCATCATTATATCCCGGTATTCACTTGAGAGACCATGCCGTTCCGCAGCCTGGCTGGAGTATGCCTCTATGGTACAACCCAGTCGAAGTCGCAGGGCCTTTTTGTCCTACATCTCCACATCCCCATCCGGGCTCTTTTATATACGGCCCAGTTGTTCCCAGCCTAGCATATGCAGATAAAGCATTTCACACTGTGGCGGCAAATTCAAGACCTGGGTCCGGGCATATCTTTGACATTGAACAAACCCAGACTCGGACCCAGCCTAGACGGAGGATTGCCAACAAGACTAGCAGTGAGCCCTATGCATACCCTCACCGAGAGATCTCATCACAGAGTCTCGTATCTAGCTCAGACTTACTGCCAGCTACAGCCTCAAACGTTATGGGAGAGCCAGAGTCATGGAAGAGCAGAGAGTGTGTCCTGAAACAACCGCCCGTGTCTGCCAAAAGTACTCACGGATTCCTACGGCACAACGACTGTTCGCATCTTGATTTCGGCAGTTGCCTTTCATCAAATGCTCAACAAAGCTCTGAATGCTCAACATCATCATACCCGCCTTGGTCTGAAAGCGTTGTGCCTTTGTTCTCCGACGCCTTTGCAATACAAATCGGCAATACGACTGACAATGCTAGACAACAAAGTTCACTTGATGCGGATGCAGATTCTATTCCCCAACATCAATGCTATAAAGAGTCCGAGTTGCCGCCCCGCGGGGTTTGTCAAAATGCTGCTTCGCCAGGTACCTCTAAGCCATGTAAAATACCATCCCAAGATAAAGCGCCACTACTTAGAGCTAAGGTGAGGAGTTGCGATTCGAAGGAATCTCAATCCTTTCAGACGGTTACTTCGGAAAAGGCAAAACGTGTGAGTGTACCTCGTACTCCTCAACACAGCAGATTTATAGTTGAATACTAAGACACGCCATTCAGAAAACCACGGCTGTCGAACATTCGAAGCAAGCGGAATCTAGTCAGATTTATATTCGGAATTTCGACTCCTATGCGAGTGACGACGAGATGTCACGTCTCAAGAAACAGGGCTGGACAGATTCTGTGCCAGCGATATCGAGAAGTTTGCATTCAAAACCACAGATACACCGAAACGTATCTATAGATGCAGGCATAGCGATCAAGCGATCGATATCTGAACACGGAGCCCCTACAAATATGGCCAACAAGATGTCGCATAAAGGTGCCTTCAGCGCAATAAAAGGGCCCATGCAATTCGACGTTGCAAGTAGAGTAGGCGAAGTGTCATGGTCCCAGTCTAACAGATGGGAGAGCCCGCTGACTGAAAAGCTCAAGATGTTTCGAAAGATGATACAAAATTTACGCCATATTAGGGCTGATCGCTCCCCGTCTTTACCAGAAAGCACGACCGAGCTGCTACAGTTTTGCGTGGATATGGCAGAGGGGAAAAAGAGACGGTGTTCACAAAAAATGGGACGGCTAGAGGCAGCACGGGAGCGTAGAAAAGCGATTGCCGAGGCCCCAGATGAGCAACACGTAAAGATGGTGCAGTTTCTTCAAGGGAAAAAGTTCCCAGACAATCTCTCGACGGTTTTTGCGTCGCGAAATTGCTTCAGAGAACACATCTCTCACCACGATGCTCAATGGGCAAGGTGGCCTTCTTTGGCGGAGCTCAAGGAGGTGCGCGACAAACGGCCGGGTGCACATGAGCGATACCTTCCTCCCCCAAAGCTGAGAATCGATGTCAAAGGCTACGCGGCGTATCAGAACGAGCATAGTTATTGGGCAGACAGGACAGACTTTGGCGGGGTGAGGCAATTGAAAGTTGACACTCGATTCATTCCCTCTATATCCCCTCCCAGTGCTCCCACTGAGCCCCCTTTCCCGCAGGCGACGGAACTGGCTCTTGAGGAGCTGCCAAGTTATCTACAAAAGGCGATAGAAGACATGGGGAAAGAACTGGATGCTGTAGACGGCTTTGGTGTTTCGAATAGCTTATGAACGGGTTGATCAGCGGCCATTCAACGACAGCAAGGCTTTGTCTACACGATCAGCACTTTGTTCATTGTGAACAAAGAAAGACGAGAACCGTTTCGTAATACTGCAGAATGGGAGCTTGCGCCAACAAAAGAGCGAGATACAAAGAGCGAGGAGAGACATGGGCAGAGCACTAGCATGAGTAACCAATGAATTCTCTATATAGACTAATATCAAGCAATGGAACACGACCAAAAATCCCCCCCTCCCCTCAGGAATAAAATCGTAGAATCATGGAGACGATTCTTTCCCGTTGGAAACATGAAACACATAAGCGCCCAATCAACTTTGCAGCTTACCGGCCCACAATTTCCCTGTTTAAACCTGGCTCCGTAGGTCAGTTTCCACGGCGCGATCTCTCGCTACTGTCCCGGAAGAACGTGAATTTCCGAAGCCCTGAGGCGGATACGTACCTCGGGGCTAGCGAAAACCCACAACCACAATTTTTCGATTGCCAATTCAGCCCTCATCGAGCACTCCGCCGAAAAAAAGTTCCCTCCTCTCACATCCGCCGCCAATTCGATTGCACTGGTGAAGCAGCATAATCATCAGGTGAGTCTGGCAAATGACACACGCAGCACAGGAGATGAGGGGTCGGTGATGAACCACAACGACGACGAATACAAGTCTTGGACTCGAAGCGATGGCTCAAATTCGAATAATTTCCAAGGGGTGGCCCGGCGTGTGGTTCCGTCATTTGATGAGCATCACCGACCGACCTCTGCTCCTGATGTGCTCTGCCAATATACGCCTCTGTCCAATATCAATCCGCTAACCCTCTGCTTTCTTAGAGCTCGCAATCATGGGTATCTCTCGCGACTCCCGCCACAAGCGCTCCGCCTCCGGTGCCAAGCGTGCCTTCTACCGTGCGTACAGACAATAATAACCCCTTGAACAACATATACATACATGTTCTTTTTTTGCCTCTACAATCGAAAGCCCGTATGATATTGCTCGTCAATAAAAAACATACGTTCTGACCTTTTCAACAGGGAAGAAGCGCGCTTTCGAAGCTGGCCGCCAGGGTGCCAACACCCGTATTGGCGCCAAGCGCATCCACACCGTCCGCACCCGCGGCGGGAACCACAAGTACCGTGCCCTGCGTCTCGACTCGGGCAACTTCGCCTGGGCCTCTGAGGGCTGCACCCGCAAGACGCGTGTCATCGTGGTCGCATACCACCCTTCCAACAACGAGCTCGTCCGTACCAACACCCTGACCCGCAGCGCCGTCGTCCAGGTCGACGCCGCCCCCTTCCGACAATGGTACGAGGCGCACTACGGCCAGCCCCTCGGCCGTAGACGCCAGAAGGCCCAGGCCGCCAAGGAGGGCAAGGTCGAGGAGGAGACCAAGAAGAGCAAGGCCGTCGAGAAGAAGCAGGCCGAGCGCTTTGCTGCCCGCGGCAAGGTCGACGCCGTTCTTGAGAAGCAGTTTGAGGCCGGTCGTCTGTACGCCATTATTTCCAGCCGTCCCGGTCAGTCTGGTCGTTGCGACGGTTACATCTTGGAGGGCGAGGAGCTTGCTTTCTACCAGCGCAAGCTGCACAAGTAAAGTGTGTTTTTTTGTGCGTGCATCGGCCGAGGAGAACGGGGAAGGGTGGTGCTCGGGAAGCTGGAGATCCAGTCGGCATGGCGGCTCCCATCCGCTGGTGTCCAGAAATCAATCCCCTCACGGGAATGGTGTTCAAGGGATTTTCAATTGTCTTGGGCATTTTTTTTTTCAGGGCATGAAGAGCTTGACATGAAGCATCGGAATGGGTCCATAGGGAATGAAAACAAAAGAAACCTTTTTTTTACTGTGCAATGTCACTGTACAATTGAATTACACTTATCTGTTGTACATGACGCATGAATGCCTGGACCATGTGGCCATGCGCACAGCAGTAGGTGGAGAAGACAATTTCACATGGTAGAGTTGCGACCCCGGTGGACGAGGTGTTGCTGTGTTTCGGGGAATTTAGCATGTCCCACAAGATTCAACTGATATTTCATTGTTTTCTCCTGCATCAGGATCACAACTAGTCCAGTTTTCGCGGGCTCTCAAGGTACCAGAGGGCGAGGTGTTGGCTAGACTGGATGGGGTCTAGGTAGGCATTCGACCCTTTGAAGTTGCTCAACGCTACCGGGTGGTCGAATACCAATGATAAGTCATGTTCGATATCAACGTGCGGTAGCTTATTCTCTTGTGACACTTTTTCTACAAAGTACTGATCCTATCGTTGTGATTACCCGCTCCATATCGTTGTCATGTCAAGTTCCAGCCCGCCACAAAAAAAATCCATCAATACACCAAGAACCAAGAATATAGTATGCAAGCCCGCCGATATCATCATACATCAAGTCAGCTATGGTTTCCTTCCTCTACCCCCTTGTATCCAGGTAAACAAGGAGAGGTCTTGTAACGCCATGCGGTAGCTTATGACAGCTATTTTTTTTTTTGTACACGAATGCTTCCAATAACAGGAGAAGCAGAAAGACGGAAGAACAGAAATTTTGTACGCATTGTTTTCCACTAGTACAAAATGTGGAAGAAATGTGCAGAAAAGAGCCAGTGTTATGTGCGACCTTCCGGGCCTTGCCGAAATTGACGACCCATATCGGTCCATTTGGTTTTCAGGTTTTCGTGTTCATCGTTGATCTGTAGTGATACAGGCACATGTTAGTTGTTCAGTGAGAAACCAAATGTGGTTGCCATTCAGTGTTTGCAAATGACGTACCTGGGCATAGCGCAGCTTGCAATCCGCCAGCTCCTTTGCAAGTCTATGCAATTCATTCTGCAAATCTACGTTTTCTTGGTAGACGTCTGCATTTTTCTTCACCATTTCGCTGCGCTCCATTTTCCACTTCCTCTCGATCTCCTCAGGCTGTAACTGAATCACATTCCTCAATTCCTTAACCTGACCCTGGAGGCCCTCGTTCTCGTCCCGCAGCCTGTCGTTCTCACCCGGTAGCGTGTCGTTTTCATCCCGTAGCCTTTCGTTCTCTTTCCGCAGCCTTTCGTTCTCTTTCCGCAGCCTTTCGTTCTCGGTCCCTAGCTCTTCGTTCTCAGCCCGTAGCGTTTCCAGCTCCTCTCGCAACTGATCGCTCTCCACCGTGCAATGAACAAGCTTGTTACAGAGATCTTTTTGCTCGGCATCATGAGCCTGAATCCGTTCTTCCAACTTTCGCACTTGGCCAGTCAGGTTCTCTTTAGCCATCTTCAGATCTTGCAACTCTGTTTCTTGTTTCTTCCTAGCTTGAGTTTTCTCCTCCCATTCCGCGGTATACATCTTCAATATTTCAGGCGTAATCTTGACTTCGCATGCATCTCGGACAAGCTGGTCCGCTCTATACACCTCCTTGTCTATGCTGGAACTGGAGCTCCCAAAGAATCCATTTTCGAGGATACTGCCCTGGCTGGGATCCTTGTCGATATACACATCAAAAAGCCTGTCCTTCAAATATGATGTAAGTTGTTGCATGTCGGATAATCCCAGTAGCGTGCTAGCATTTTTTTGCATCAACACGATACCGAATCGCAGAATAGCAGACAGGCCTTCGGACAGAATCAAGTCGTAAATACGGAGAACGAGCTGAAGCGGGAAGCGGTAGGCGAATAAGGTGAGAAACCACTGCGTAGCATAAAGATGTGGGGACACATCGCGGCGATGTAGGTGACAGTACAGTGCTGGCTCCAAATCTTCCAGCAAACGCTCGAATTGGTAGCAAAGCATGTGCAATCCCGGCATATCCTTGATAAACAAGTCCCGTAGTTTATATTGGTGCATCAAACGAACGAGCAGACAGAATGCCTCGTCCTCAGGCATCTAAATATGAAGTGTGTCAGTGTCAGTCACGTTCTCGCCGTGGTCTGGCTAGACGGGGGTGTTTCTACCTACATTGAACAGCAATGGCATGATCAAAAAATTCATGCCCTGTGCGTATCCAACACCATCGTCGTAGAGAGCATACGCTTTGCAGACGCCAAACAGACCTTCTTGAAGCCCCGCAGCAGCGGCATGCTTGGAAAAGCTCGTTCTCGCCCCAAGGTCACGTCGAATAGTTTTCTCGAGGATCTGAATTTTGGCTGCCCGTTCTTTCTGTTTCTTTTGCTTCTCCGCGATTGATGCAGCCTGTGCCTTTGCAATCGCCTCCTGGCTCTTCTCGCTCCTAGGTGACGTGCTGCCATTGCCAGCCGACTTATTCGAGTGAATAGATGATGCAGACGACTTCACGCCGTCACTATTCGTGTAGGCAACGATGCCACTGGCACTGGGAGTGGGACTAGTAGCTGTGCTGCGGATATTCTGCTTGTCCTTGTCGGTACCTTGGGTGAGAAGATCCTTGTACAGCGTTTCAAGGTGTTCATTTTTGCTCTGCGCAAGGACTTGCCAGATGACTCCTCTAATAGCGTTGGGAATGCCCGTAGCAATGGCCCTGTTCAACTCCTCGGGACTGGTTCGGGCTACCGCGGCCGGACCTTCATAGACGACAGACTGCCAAAGATCCCAGTCTACTTGGGCTTCCTGCATCGCTGAAGGCCCTGCATTGACTCCAGATGCAGTGCCAGGGGCCAATTCGTGGTTGGGACTCGGCACTGGAGGCACTGGGCTCTTGTCACCGGACACAGTCTTACCGTCTGTGCTGACCAGCCCAAGCGCATCCTCTTGTCCGTCACCATCGCCAGGAATTAACTGTATACCAGCTTCCTCACGCATTCGCAGGACTTTGAACCTGTCCTTGAGACTCTTCCTATGGTTACCATTGACGCCATTCGTAACTTGATTCTCCTCCGTGAGCGTACTGAGCATCATTTCTGGGTTGCTTGTCAGGGTAGCAATGGAGCTTGCGGTGTTTCTTCTCCCAGAAGGCTGAGCCGGTGGAGACGTAGAGGTATCCTTGTTTGTGGAAAACCAGGAAAATGGAGACGAGCGTTTCCGGGTAGGAGGGCTTGGAGCCGGTTGCGGTGGAGGAGCGGCGACTGCATTGGATGAAGGGCCTGGGCTCTTCGAGGGTGATTCGGCGGAAGGAGACCAAGCCATAGATGGGAGAGCATTGGTAATGCTGCTCAGAGACAAGGTCTTGCTGGCATGGTCCTTTTCGGGTGGGATTGGGGGTGCTACCAAGATACTCGTTTAGTGGACAAGAACTTTAGGGGTCAGTTGTTTAACACACCTTCTGCCTTGGCAGGTGTCTCGTCATCCAGGTTCACATTATCGAGGTTCGATGTGTTGGAAATGCGACGCGAAACCGGTGAAGACGTCCTGCGCGGGACTGGCTTTACTTCCGCCTTGCCAGAGTCCACCATTTCATCACTGGCAGTCCCCTTGTCTTCCTCGTCCTTGTCGCTTTTCTCGCCTCCCTCATCCTCCTCATCTTCTCCGTCTCGTCGCGAAGCCCTTTTCGAAAGGGAAACGGATCTCTTTGTCAATGAGCGTACGAAGCCTGCATCAACTGTATCTGCAGTAGTATCTGCATTGTCTACAGCATCTTCGAACGAGTCCCCGTCTCCGCCCTGCAAACAATGGAAGGTCAGCAAACATCCCAAGAGGGGACGGTATGGGAATGGAGGCTCGTAATTGATTTATAAAACTTGCGGGCAGAAGCAAGAGGCATAAGCAAGTAATTTTTAGCCCTGACGTACCGTATCTGGGCTCGAGCTGGCGGCCGAGGAGGGCCTTGGCTTCTGTTCCTCCTGATTAGGAGAGGAAACGTCGCCGCCCTGCAACGACATTGTACTTGTGCGTAAGCGCAGGGCGCCTTCGTGATGCGATGGTTGTATATGTCAGTATATATAGCTCGTAGTTTGGAGCAGTTCCGCTCGTGGCCACCAGCACCGAATGAGGTGACGACTGCTCGTGTGACTTCGAACCTAGGGCAAGGGGAAATGAGGTTGTTTGTCTGCTCAGTTGTCGACTATCCTGGGTTGGGTGCTATTGCGTCTCATACAGTAAGGATGGTAAGGAAGGGGCGTGCCGCGCAGCGTCGCAATTACGGCTAGAAAAGGAACAAAATTCTCAAGAATGCGGAAAAGTAGTTACAGAGTAGAAGCAAGAAGAAGGGAGTAATAAAGAGGGCGCTGGTGAGTTGGCAAACTGGCACTGGTCTCGTCCCCCTGGTTTCTTAGCGGGAAGTGGAACATTGAAGACCGAAGAGATACTTGGTGGAGTTTGGCGCACGCGGTTAGTTGGCGGAATGTGCATGTGTGCAATGGCTCGCGGCGGCTGGCTTGAATGTTTCCCGCTGGCATTGAATGCGCAAGCTTGCTAGCCCAGGAACAGGCACTTGGGCCTAGTTGGAAGCGAGATAGGGGCTCCCGACGCCTGGCAGATACCAGACAGCACTGGCAACATTGAACCTGCCAGACTATAGTATGTGGTAACTAACTACTAGTACTAAGCAACCAGCACCTGGTGCACATGTGCTCAAGTGGCTGGGGCATCATGGAGGCAGGCCCACCCTGGGGAGCTCTGGCCGCTGACTTCGACCCTCGACCCTTCGACTCGCAGCGCCAGACTGGGTCTTGGATGGGGCTCCGGGTCCAAGTTCAGGTTTCAGAGGTCGGCTGGTGGGCCCACCTGTGGCAGACCACATAAACATTCAATGTTCGGACATTCATAAACATGGCATCAATTCATCAGAAAGGCGGGCAGTGAAGCGAGGTTGATAGATGGCAGTGTTGGTGCCCAGGATTGCTCTGCCATGAACTATGAACTTCAATATTGCTCTCCAGGTGCTCCAGCATGCAATCCGTGCTCTGAGCCCTGTGCCCTCTGCCCTGTGCTCGTATCGCGTGTCCACCACTTTGTTCACCGGGGCCAGGGACTTTCGCTTCAAAGGCTCAAATGTTGCTTTAATTGGCGTACACTAATCAAGCGGTTTGTTGGTCCTGCTACGTACTACCACATGCATCTGTGAACCTCTGAATACTGAGGAGGAGCAACATGTTCCCACTCTGCTTTGCCCACATTGTCAGGGGGAACCGTCCAGGAGAAAACTCTATAATTCCCCAGGTGCGGAGAGGAAGATATCCCAAACAGCGCCGCTTAGCCGCACATTTAATTTCAATGTTGCCATGTACGACGTCCAGTACTAGTGTACACGTTGCGAGGCATAGGTCGTCAAAGCCAAGTCAACGTGTCCAATTTTACCATGACAGCTCGATATTTGTAGTATTCCGCTTCCAAAGGCAGATTTGGCCGGGGTCTCTCGGAGTCTCCAAGCTCCAGATGTCCCGTTTCTGCTGCTGTTAACTTTTAAGTTGCACCTGCCGCATTGACTTGAGCTATTCTGGCACTGGTGACGGTGGCGGTGTCGTCAAGAACCACATTACATATACGGGCCTATACCTAGAGAACGTGGTTGATCCGCCGTATTGAGAGTGCTCCAAAGTAAATACAATCCTAGTAACTCAAGTTTATACCAGACTGTATCAAGTATGTTGTAGGTGGCCATGCGCATGTGCTCACCCTGCAGGCCTTTGGAATGTAACCATGACCACAGCCTCAAATCCGGTGTGCTGATTGGCTGCCGCAATGTCACCACTTGCCCATTTTTCTTTGCTCAACCAGGAGCGTAAAAGAGGGCCTGGCAATGGCACCGTGCTCATAAGGATCCAGGAACATGTTCTCCATTCGCACGCCAAGCCTGGCCGAGCGCCGTTGGAATCAACGACACAAGCTCCTGGAGGATCGCGCTGTCCAGCACCGGCATCCCTGATGTTCAGACCAGCCCTCGATGGAATCAGAAGCGGAAATGTCGGAGCCCTTCCTGGATTTTTGCTCCGAAATTGTTTCCACTCAGCTTGATGAGTGAAATAGGTTTCCAGTATCTCACTTATTTTCTGCTGTTCTTCAAGATCGTCGATTTTCTGCATCCGCTTTGGGGAATCGGTCTCATCCAAGTCTGCTCAAATACCTCCTCTAACTCTTTTCGCAGAGCACGATGTCAGATCGAATGGAAGCGAGTTCAGCTTCTGAATCTGAAAATGGTGGCATGGTGCCTTGTTTTGAAGAGGTGTACCACAGTTTATTAGTAAACACTTGATGCGAAAACTGTAAGGCTGGCAGGATTCTGAGATAGCCTTACAGTGGGAGGTGAAAAGAAAGTACCTACCTAGGCAGTATTTAATCACGCTAGGTACCCGGCAATCTCACTTTATATTATGATATACTATGTATATTAGTCTACGCTTCTCAATGGGTAAATATATATTCTGCCACAGATTATATATATACCCAGTGAAAAGGTTGAGAATTGCGAGGACGAACCTCAAGCTCCCTGATATGCGTTTTCAAAAAGTTTCTGAAGAGAAAAAAGAGTATCGAAAAAAGGTTTCTGAAATGAAAAGGTGTCTAATGTCATCCGTCAGCGACTAAGTGGTAGGGGGAAGGAGTTCTGCTATCTGGACGGCAGCCACAGGAGGAGGAGCGCAGGAGTAGTTAAAGCATTTGTTGAACGGGAGATGTTAGCAACATTTACTGTGCTGCTTTGTTTATACCAAGTACCAGGAACTGAAGCAAGAGACCAGTTGAACTTCTGGTGGAGTGTGAGCGTTGATGCGATGACGGTGCTTCTTACCGAAGACGTCAATCGGTAGGTGCCTCTACTTGGACGCTCTTGGCCCTCAATGTCAACCGTCTGTACCTGGTTCAAAATGTCTTCAATTGCATGTAGTCATTGGACTCTTGCATGCAGCCAGTCAAAGTGCACCAGATATTTAAGGCTCAGAGTCGAGCGCTCCCAACAGTGCTACTACCTACGAGTAGGTAGGTACCTAAGGTCGTAGCTGCCTCAAGTGTCAATTTGATGTCGCCTGCCGCAGCCTACCAGCTACAGAGTACATCGGTACCTAGGCACTTACCAAGTACTAGGTACTAGCGTGCCCCAAGCAAGCAGCCATGATCGGACCAAGTTGACGCCCACCACAAGCCGCAAGACTCGGAAGCCTATTACGCAGAGGCCCACTCTCTTGCTGAACCTGACGTTTTTGACATCCGAACTCCTCCATCTTTTTCCAACCCAACATCACAGCTACTCCTCAACCCTCCGACACACCCTTTGCATCTAGGAGAACCTATATCGAATTGCTGAGGGCCGCGTAGTAGATTGTATCTACTGTTTCTATATCCGCTCTATTGTCGTTTAACGTTTTGGGGAAGCTAATCTGGGACGTCCTGCACCCGTCCTTGCACCCGCTCTCTAGCTTCATCTACCAAACCAACCGGACGGCCACCAACCAAAAACTAGTCCCGCCTTCGATATACCTCGTTTCAAAGGCTTGGCGCGAATATAATAGTACTGCTAAAAGGGACTATCGGTTATATTTTGGTCCGTTAGACTCCGCTGCCGCCGGCTTCTTGCTCCCCTCGCCGAGCAGCTGCCTGACGGGATAAAGTGGCACTTGTCCGTATCACCGTCAATATTACACCACAGACTACGGGTTCTGTTGAGCGAGATATTCGGAGCTGTCCGTTAAAGGGCACTCCGGGCCCTTGCAGAGCAGCATTGTCGTCCAGGCTCGTAGCCAAATCGTAGTGGAGGGGGAGCTTGCTTGTGCTTCCGCGGCTCTGCCGCCTCTCTCTTCACCATGGGCAAAATCATCAAGACGATGCAGTCCAAGCACAAAGAGACTTTGGTAAGCTTCTTTCCTTCAATCAACCCAGTGTCTGGACTCGCTCTTGACGCGGCTTCTCTAACCCCATGTCTCTGCCAGTCTCCTTGGCTGAAAAACTACGTCGAAACAGCCTCCACCATAGATTTGCCATCCTTGCCGAGACACCTGTCGAAATTCCCATCGAGATGGCCATTCGGACGTGGAGATTTGTATCACTGGATACCGCTTCTCAACCGATTTGATAGTATCTTGGAGCATTTCAACAAAACTTATGCCCTGAACGAGGGTCCACAGTCTCGAGATTTCGCCACCGACGTGCTCCTCAACCGTGCAAAAGATTCGACATTCAGCAGCGAGAAACAGTGGACATATGAGGAGCTTCAAGAACTTGGTTTCTCGGCCGATGGTGACAGGGTGCTGATAGAGGCTGTTCTGCTATTCACTCGCATGCTCTTGGAGCACTGCGGCAATCGCAGCATCTATGCCAGCAGCCCGCACCTCAACGACCTTCTAAACAGCACCGCTTTGTCTGTTCTCATTTCAACATTGGAGGTGGGCTCAGAGTTAGCTCAGCGGTATCAAGCTTCCGTCAAAAGGATCGGCAATGCTTCCAGGCAGATAAGCGCAGCACTGTTAGCAAACCATTACAACATCGACATCGAGCGAGTCCAACAAATTGCGCTACCGTTTGTCAAAACTCCAATAGTAAATCTAACTGACCCTGCGTCATCCATGACCCCGGTCTCGACCAAGGGAAAGGAAAAGGCACATGGGAGTAGTAGCAGAAACTCGATTCCGACCCATGCCAACGACCTGGTTGCAATTGCTACATGTGACGATGCAATGTGGCAGGGATGGGGCGACGTGAAAGTGCTGTACTATCCACAAGACAGCCATGTCGGCGTTGACGTGTCAAATGACACTGGCCGAACATCACTCCCCTCAACACCGACTCCCCTACGCCGCAGCCATACCGTTGGTAGCCAGCAGAACACTCCCCGAGCCCGAAATATCGGTGCCGATGACTCATCTCCTATTTTACCGCGAACTCCAGCTGTTTCGGAGGAACATGCCATCCCAGGTCAAAAGTCATTTGAACTGCCCAAGTCTGTGGTCTCCACTTCATCTATTTACGACCTTGTTAAGCGATGCCCCGATGACATGCCGTCATCTGCAAAATATGAACTTTTTCACCGAGTCCGAGTTGCAAAGGCACTCACTGAGTCGCTCGAGTCGCGTCAGAAAATACTCGCGATCCGGTTACTTGCGATTACTAATCTGGCCTACATCCATACTGAGTCAAACTTTGTTGACAAGGTTCTTCGCCACGATATTGACGAGACCAGAAGATACCAGCTTGTCTACCAACTTGCGGAGTTGATACGCCCCTCGGCTGACGGACATTCAAAAATACCGCTATGGCTTCAGACGTTTGCCCTGGCTCTCCTGGAGGCTGTCTCGGGATTCCATGCGAGATGCCAAGATGTTCTGTCTGCCTTGAACGCCAATGTCAACCACGGAATTTTGCTCTACGTCATTAGAAAGGCTGTAGCGGGCATGCAGGTTGATGATGCGACCGACATTGGTGACCAGGCGAGCGAAGCAGACGACTGGCGTAACAATCTCTTTTCTTTGACCTTGCATCTGTCCATGGCCACCCGCGTTGGAAGTGAAATGGTTTCGGCCGGTCTTATGGATATCCTGGTTGAGATCCTCCACATTCGGTCTCAAGTGGCTCAACGGCACCATTCGATGGTGTTGGCGTTTCTAGATGGCCTTATTTGGACGTATCAAAACGCATTCACCGCCTTTTTCAACGCGAGCGGCCTAGACGCCGTTGCACAACTGCTAGTAGACACCGTTACAGAGGCTCAATCCTCGCTACAATCATCTAAAGGTGTCAAGCCCGACCAACAGTCTGTGGTGGTCGACTACGAGATCCCTTACTACCAGCAGCAGACGCTTAAATGGCTTCTCAAATTTGTCCATCACATCATGTCAAATTCTTATAGCTATGGTGGCAATACAGACCGCCTGTTGAGAAATCTAGCAGAAAAGTCGGACCTGCTTCACAGTCTGCGAGAAATCATGGCTAATAAGCAGAGTTTTGGGTCAGTGGTGTGGACTAATTCAGTCACAATTCTGAGTGATTTCATCAATAATGACCCAACGAGCTTTGCCGCCATATCTGAGTCGGGCATGATCAAAACATACCTCGAGGCGATTACCGGTCAGCCAGTGCCGGAGCAGCAACAAGGCGGGGAGTCGAAGCAAACTGAACAACAACACCAACAAGACCAAGATGATGCTGAGTCTCCAGATTCGTCTGCTGCCGCCGCCTCAATTGCAGACGAAGATGACAGGCCGCATCCTCCCTCAGACGATGATATTCGCCGCACAAGGCGCAACAAACCTGCCGAGGGTATTCTGGCCTCTTCAGAGGCGATCAATATTGTTCCTCAGGTCCTGAATTCTATCTGCCTGAACAATGTGGGCATGAAGCTGGTTGTCGCCTCTCGAGCCTTTGATAGCTACCTTGAAATCTTTGAGAGCTCTCAGCATGTATCGTGCATGGAGGCAGACAGCGACTTGGCGGGCAATGTCGGCGCCAACTTTGATGAGCTTGCCCGTCACCATCCACCGCTACGGACGTCCATCTCCAATGCAGTCATCGACATGGTTGCCAGAGTACGGTGGCTGGGAATTGAGAGAGGAATGGAGTCTGACTGGGGTGCTAGGTTGTACGTCACCACTGCAGAGGGGACTGTCGTCACTGTTCATCCGAACGAACACTTCATGAAAGCACCAACGGTAGAGTCTGCCCCTGATCGACAAGGTACTGCCACCGAAGAAGCAGACGAGGACATGTCTGACGCAGCTCCCACCAACGAGACTATCACCGAGAAGAACAAGAAACCTCAAAAACTCGCTCCCGCGCAATCACTTACACCATATATTCATGGTCTGGCTAATTTTTTGACCGGCTATTTGTCCAATACACTGCTCAAGGTGAACTTTGTGAGAAAAGGTGGCATTGAGCTCCTTCTCGACTTGTGCGAGTCACCAAGTCTTGACGCAACATTTGGTGATTCATCTGCCGCCAGAGTTCTTAATCAGGTCATCGCCCAGTTAGTTGAGCACTCCCCTGTTCGGGGTCTGCCTTCATTATTGCGCCGCGCGCAGTCAAACATCGATGTGTTGAAACCTCTTGCAGCCAAGACCGAGGCTCTCCCTCCATACTTTGGCCCTTTCCTTGCTACGGATTTGCATGTCTGGAGCGATGATCCCGAGCAATCGAAGGTTGTTCTACAAGCAACGCAAAAGATTAAGGCACTGTTGAACGCCCAAAATTTGATTAAGATCATTTCCGACTGTTTCACCACGTCGAGGTCTAATGCCCTGCAGTTCTACCCCGTGAACGTTTATGATTACTATTTGAAGCTCGTAAAGTCTATCGGACCCTTGTTGCGAGGTATTTTGGCCGAGGAAGCAGGCGAGCTCTCCGTTGTACCACAGCATTGGTCGTTGCGTCGTCAGGGCTTTCTCGGCGTGACCAACACAAGTGAGGGACGTGATGCTGTGGGCAGCGACGAAACCTCAATTCCAGATGTGCTCAGCGATGCTGCCAGAAGCTGGCCCTCTGCTGATGGCACTGACACTTCTGCACCCGTTGAACCTACAGAACAAGAACGCTCGAGCGCCCGGTTCATGAATTACGAGATCTTGCACACACTTTTGCATCCCATGATCCCCACCTCCTTCCCCTTGTTCCAATCTCTAGGCAAAGCTCTCTTGCCTAGGAGAGAGCAAAACCATCTTGATCCATTCCCTCGTCCTAGACAGTTGGAGATTGCGATGGCCTTGGCGGACACCGTCTTATCGCATCTTGGTCCGTCAGTTGGCCAGGCTGAGCCGACATCTAAAGTCTTCCATTATTGGATTATTATGCTCCACACCATTCATGAAATGCTAATTGACCACCCGTCACCCCGACAAAGCGACAGATCCAATGTACAGATTATCATGCCAGTTCTGCTTGCGTTCAAAGAGCAAGGTGGCCTCGACGTGCTATATTACATGCTCAGGATCTTGGCATCCTCTGTCAAGGCAGGGCCAGATAGCAACACCGATGAAACGTCAAAAGTCAAGGTTGCGGCATTTGGACTCAAGAAAGTCCTTGATCTTTACTATATCCTGGTGAACGGAAAGTACTTGTCGGAAAGCAGCAATCACTTCAACCTTCATCGCCAGGCCGATCGGTCACAGAATATTCCAAACGTAGCCCAGCAGATTGTGGTTGAGTTTCGTGCGGCAATTCTGCCTGCCATCATGGAGCTTTGGACGTCCAACTTCATCGAAAAGGTTCCCGATGCCACGGTGAAGAGACTACTGGATATTCTCAAGATTGTGTGTGCGGCTGAGCACGAACCCCAATCTATCCCCAAAGATGCCAAGGCGCCCTTGATGCTTTTTAAATACACTGATGCCAGATTTAACTGGGCTTCTGTTCAAGGCGTGGTGAAAGAGGTCATAGACACAGGTTTTGAGGAGGATCTTGTTCACGAAGCAGTCTACAGAGCCAATGGGAACACTGCACCCGCTATCGAATATTGCCGCGCCCATACAGACGGTCTCGCAGGGCCACGAAATCCCATTCCTCCTGAGGATGCAGACATCTCGGCTCTACAACAAGAATCGTCAGCAGGCCAAGAAGATCAATCTAATACGGTTACTGCCCCTGACTCGGACCAAATGATCTTGGATGCTCTCCCCGATATATCTGCTGATGACATGGTCGAATATGTCGATCGACATATCGGCAATATCCAGGCCGATAATGATATTTCATCGGAAGCTACGGGTGTAACGTCATCCAATCACAGAGATGACGCGACTGACAAAATTCCTTCTATGACCTTTGTTGTAAATTTCAACGTGGTCAAGGACGATCTGGACCACATGCGTTCCAAGATCCGCGCACAATTAATTGACCAGTGTCTGGACGTGATTCGAACCCATCCCGAGACAGCCATTGAAGTATCAGATTTGGTATCTGCCACCATTTTGCGACGGCAGAATCAGGAAGCCCAGGAGGAGGTTGCCTCCACGCTCACATTTGCTCTTTCATCTCTGTCTCTGGACGAGGATGAGAAGCGGCGAAATGGCAAATGTATTGCGGCCTACGCTCACCTCTTGGCTCTGCTGCTCCAGGACGAGAATTTCTTTGAGCACAATAAGGAAAATCTCGCTGATAAGGTAGACGAGTATGTTGGCTTCTTGAAAGTCCCACTTTCGTCGTCCACCGACGAATTGCCACCCTGGATTCCTTATATTTTGCTTGTTCTGGAGGCTCTTCTCTGCCATGATGAACGGCCGGTCCCGGTGCAATGGAAGCCGCCAAAGTCTCTAGAAGATCCCGTTTCTGAGCCTGTCATTCGATTAGGTCTGCCACTGGTTGGTGATCAGAATTGTAACAAAATTCTGGAATCACTACTTGACTTGCTGCCTCGTATTGGCAAGGAGGAAATCCTGGCTACTGCAGTACTGAGGGTGCTTTTGATCCTGACTCGGAAACGACGCCTCGCAAAGGTCGTGGGCGAGAAGAAGAACCTGCAGCGATTATTCTTAATGGCCAAGCAGCTCTCTGGCTCCGGCTCTGAGCGTCTGAAGCAAACAAGGCTTACTGCACATATCATCACCATCTTAAGGCACGTCATTGAAGATGAGGATATAATTAAACAAATTATGCGCGCAGAGATTCAAGCGGACTTTCCCAATCTACTTAGGAACCAACGGGGTCACCCTGATGTATCATCTTTCCTCCGAGCCATGGCACCTGTTGCCCTTCGCGCTCCGGATCTGTTTGTGGAAGTGACAAACGAGCTGCTTCGATTTCAAAGATGGATAGCACCATCCGGAGATTCGAACCGATCGCAGTCTTTGGCTTGGAAAGACCAGCAATCCGACTCCAAAACTGAAGAGGAGAAGCCAACTGCAGATGGATCTTCGAGTGATACCGTAAAACCCTCAACAGAGCTTGCCGACAAAGAAATGGCTGACGTCCCAAAGGCACACCATGACATGAAGCGACCAGTCGTAGAGAATCCCGATGGAGTCATTCATTTCCTGCTATGCGAGTTAGTCAACTATCGCGAAGTAGATGACAAGGAGCCATCTGCGCCTTCTGACCTCAACAGGGAGGCTACTGGAGCGGCAAACTTGCGAGATACTAGCTCCAAAGATATCTCAGCAGCTGACGGAAAGGATAAAAAACAATCGAAACCTTTGTTCAAGGCAGAAGAGCATCCTATATTTGTTTACAGATGTTTTTTGCTGAACTGTTTGGCAGAACTCCTGCAGAGCTACACACGAACCAAGGTCGAATTTATCAACTTCAAGCGTAGCGCGCCACCCTTGTCGACCACAACCCCAATCAAGCCGCGAACAAGCATCTTGAACTATCTGATTTACGATTTACTGTGCCAAGGGAACCTCAACGGTACTACCGACACCATTGCTTCTAAGAAGAAGGCGGCGACATCGTCGCTGACTCAAAAAGTTCTGGTGGCCCTCGTGTCTAAGACTAATGAAAAGGTTGCAGACCGTAGAGCCGACAAGTTTGTCTACGATGACGAGCCTGACTTGCTGTTTGTCCGAAAATTTGTTCTTGACACAATATTGAAGGCTTACGAGAAGGCGCCGCTCACTGAGGAGCCTCTTGAAACCCGATATTCCCGGATGCAGTGCCTGGCCGAACTCATGAATCACATGATTGGTGAGAGGGATAGGGACCAAAATCCAAATGCAAGAGGCGGCGACAGTCTTCAGTCCCGCTCACAGGCGCAGCTCCGCCGCTTGATGTACGAAAAGGGCTACGTCGACAAGCTCACGTCATCAATTGCCGAAATTAGCCTCAGCTATCCAGGCGTGAAGCGGGCTATCAAATATATTCTCCGTGTTCTGCGTGTTCTAACCGGCACCGCAAAGGAACTGAGCCAATCAAGTATTTTACCTGCAGATCCTGCCGGTGACCACAGTGACGAGGAATTCGCATCATCTTCATCACTATCCGATGTGGACGACGATGATAGAGAAGAGACTCCAGACTTGTATCGTAATTCCGCACTAGGAATGCTGGAACCTCGAGGAGAAGATGACGAGTCCGATGAAGGTGATGAAGACGACGATGAGGACATGTATGGCGATGAATATGACGACGACGAGATGGACTACGGTGAGGATGATATTACCGATGGCGAGGATGACATCAGTGATGATGACGAAGAACTTGGTGGCATGGGAGAAATTGAGGGTCTTCACGGTGAACCAGGCGTGGTTGAAGTCATCATGGATGAAGATGAAGATGACGAAGAAGACAGCGACGATGAAGAGGATGACGACATGGACTCTGCTGATATGGAAGATGTGGATGACCGAGTAGAAATAGTTGACGAGGATGGAAACCCCCTCGAGGAGGATGGAGACTCTGGTTGGGAAAGCGAAAGCGATGTTGAAGAGGATGACGACCCAGACCAAGATGCCCTGGACTACGACGCAGAGGTCCAAGAAGAAGGAGAAGCTCATATGCATGGCATGGCCCCAGGCGACTTGCTTGATAATATGGCTCGGGCTATTATGGGGGATGATGGAGGGTATGATCCGGATCTAGGTCTGGATGACCATTATCTCGACGATGACCATGAAGATGGTGGTATGCTGAGCTCCCCCCCCTCCATTTCTTTTTCAAGCAAGCCCGGGTGCGAAAATACAGCTACTAATATATGCACAACCATAGAAGATGAGGACGAAGATGAAGATATTGATGACGAGGAGTACATCTATGACGAGGACTATCCAGGTAAACTTGTGAAGAGTTCTTTATAGCAGTTGAGTAGCATGGTCTTGATACTAATCGTGGCTTACCTTAGATGACCAACTGCCCCCAATGCCATCGTTGGGGTGGGATGCTGTCAACCCTGACATGGATGACCGACATCGTAATATGCTCCTCGTTGATGGCCACAGACGACCCGTATTGGCTCGAATGGACAACCGCAGTTCATTTCCCGGCCGTTTCCTCGGTGGATCTCATCGTGATCAACTGGGTAAGCTCTTGATCTACATACATGCTTCCATCACAACCCTTGCTAATTCTGCAGCAGGAGAGTTCCGCAGCTACTTTACGTCACGAAACCATAGATCTACGGGGGAACAATCTAACGCGGAGGATGGTCTCAATCCTCTCCTGCGTCGCAGCGATCAAGCAAACGAAGGCCTGCCTCGGCCTGGCCAAACTCATGCTTTAGATTTAAGAATTCCGCCTGGTTTGCTCGGCGCCGGTCGCCACTCCATGGAGGGTCCTATGGGCTTGTTGGGAGAACTCATGGAATTTCTGCCAATGATGAGCCAGAGCGGAAATGGCCAACAGGCTTTTCATTTCCACATCACTGGACCTGGTGCACCACGGGAATTTAGAGATCTTGGCCCGGCACGGTGGGTAAGGACTGATAACCGGCGCGACGCAACAGCCCAGGAGCCTCACCAAGCAGTTTCCTTCACCCCAGAATCAACCTTGGACCGCTACCAGGAGGAGGCCAGAATGATTTTTGGGGTCAACCACACCACTGAAGCGTTTAAGCTCATCAACATTATTACCGCGCAGCTTACTCCCGCTGCAATGGAACTTGAGAAGAAGCTCAAGGCCGAGGAAGCAGAGCATCAGAGACGTGCAGATGAGGAACGAAAGAAAAGGGAGGAAGAAGAACGTCTTGCCCAGGAAGCGAAAGCGGCGGAAGAGAAGGCTGCTAGAGAAAAGGAGGAAAAGGAACGTGAAGAACAGGAACGACTTGCGCGGGAACGCTTGGTCACAGCAGAAACCACAGAAAACGAGCAACCGGATCGTTCCAGCGGAGGAGTGATGGAAGGTATCGAGACATCTGGGCCATCAAGCGAGCCTCAATCCGCAGTAGAACCAGGGTCTGCGTCCGCTGCCGCTGAACAACCCCGTGTCATGACTACTATCAGGGGTGAAGAAGTTGACGTTACGGAGCTGGGCATTGATCCTGAGTATCTGGCCGCCCTACCTGAAGAATTCAGAGAAGAGGTGATTGCTCAGACAGTCAGTGAGCGGCGATCTCAAGCTCGCGAGGAGGCCGCAGCCGGAGAGTCAACAGACGTATTCCAAGAATTTCTTGACGCTCTTCCTGACGAACTCCGACAGGAAATCGCCCAGCAAGAACGACAGGAAGAACGCAGACGGAATCGGGAAGAGGCTCGTCGCCAGGCAACTGTTCCATCTGGACAGCCGCCTCCTGCTGAAATGGACGCGGCTAGTATTCTGCTCACCTTTCCGCCTGCTCTTCGTCAACAAGTTCTCATGGACCAAGGCGAAGACATAATGGACCAGCTTACACCGGAGATGGCTGCCCAGGCGCGGGCTTTGAGTCAACACCACCCCCCGATGCCTCAGCATCAAGGCGTACGATCTATTGTCACACCAGGACAAGGACCCCCTCAATCTGGTGCCCGTGACAACAGCGAAGGTAAAGCTCAACGCCGAGCAGTAGTACAGATACTGGACAAATCTGGGGTAGCGACTCTTTTGCGCTTGATGTTCATCGCTCAGCAAGGTTCCATCCGAAACTACTTGTTCAGTGTCTTTGCTGATGTTTGCGAAAATCGCCAAAACCGACTCGAGGTGGTGAGCACGATCCTCCAGATTCTTCAAGAAGGCAGCACAGATATGAACGCGGTTGAACGAAGCTTTGGGCAGCTATCGATAAAGGCAAGGAAGCACAAGGAGCGTGAAACCGACCAGAAAACACCTCAGAGTCTTAAGAAAACACTGACAAACTTGGGAACCACCGCCACACATGTTCAACAGACCAACTCGGAAACCTCGCCGCTCTTGATTGTGCAGCAGTGCTTGGACCTTCTGGTGGACCTGTGCACGAGGAGTCAACACATACCATGGTTATTCTTGACCGAGCACGAGGTCGTGGGGTCTACTCTTAAGAGGGCATTGAGCCGAAAAGGAAAGATTAAGGACTCTAAGGCTCACAAGTACGCAATCAACTCTCTCTTGACTTTGCTGGATCGTGAGATTGTCATTGAGAGCTCTGTTGTGATGACACATCTCGCCGATTTGCTGAACCGTGTTACTTTGCCACTTCTTAGCCTCGACCGCAAACGCAAAGATACCACAGAGGAGGTCAGAAAGGATGCTCCTGTCGCTACTGAAGGAGAGCAGCGGTCTGCCTCGGCTGAACAGCATCAACAACCTGAAGCAGGTACCTCTACCGCGCCTCCCGCAGGGCAAGTACCAATTTCTGAACAAAATGCCGACGCTGCGGAGGGAGAGCCTCATCAACAGAAGAAAGAACCTGGATTGAAGAAGCAGAGACAGTTGCAGCCACCAGTCATTCCACCACAAAACCTCACTCTTGTTGTGAAAATATTCGTTGCTAGAGAATGCAGTTCCAAGACATTTCAGAACACCATCTCCACCATCAAAAACTTGTCGGCTATCCCGGGCGCAAAGGCCGTTTTCGGACAGGAGCTTGTGAAGCAAGCCCGTCTCCTGAGTGAAAATATCGTCTCAGACCTAGACGACCTTCTTCCCCATATCGAACGGGCCACTTCTGGTACTGAAATCCAAGGCGTTGCACTTGCCAAGTTTTCTCCAGGAGCATCTGAGCAAAACAAGCTACTCCGCGTTCTAACTGCATTGGATCATCTGTTCGATGGCCGCAAGAAGGGTGGTGATGGCGAGACGGAGGAGTCTAAAGAGCACGACAAGCAGCACCTAGTCACTTCTCTCTACCACAACTCTACATTCTCTGCTATGTGGGAGAAACTCAGTGCCTGCCTAAAGGCGATTCGAGAGCGAGAGAATATGCTGAATGTCGCTACAATTTTACTCCCACTGATCGAATCCCTGATGGTTGTATGCAAGAACACGACGGCAAGCGATGACTTGTCCCAGAGCCAGGCGAGCAGAGGCATGGTTCTTTCTAGCCCACCACCAGAAGCCCGGACTGCCAGTTTGTTCTTTGCCTTTACGGAAGATCATCGACGCATTCTGAACGAACTGGTGCGCAATAACCCAAAACTCATGTCTGGAACCTTTGCGCTGTTGGTTAAGAACCCCAAAGTTTTGGAGTTTGACAATAAACGGAACTACTTCAATCGCAGTGTTCACTCGCGAAGTAACCAAAATAGTCGCCCATCCTATCCTCCCCTGCAACTGTCAGTCCGTCGCGATCACGTATTCCACGATTCCTTCCGATCACTCTATTTCAAGTCGGGTGACGAAATGAAATTCGGCAAGCTTAACATTCGCTTCCATGGAGAGGAAGGCGTTGACGCGGGTGGTGTCACACGTGAGTGGTTCCAAGTGCTCGCTCGACAGATGTTCGACCCCAACTACGCGCTTTTCACCCCTGTGTCGTCAGATCGTACTACTTTCCACCCCAACAAGCTCAGTGGAATCAACCCGGAGCATCTGATGTTCTTCAAGTTCATTGGACGCATCATTGGCAAGGCCCTTTACGAAGGTCGTCTGCTTGATTGTTTCTTCAGCCGAGCAGTTTACAAGCGAATCTTGGGTAAATCCGTATCAGTGAAGGATATGGAGTCCTTTGATCCTGACTATTACAAGTCACTCTGCTGGATGCTGGACAATGACATTACGGACATCATCACAGAGACATTCTCAGTTGAGGACGACGAATTTGGCGTTACGAATGTTTTCGATCTTGTTCCCAATGGCCGAGACGTTGCTGTCACTGAGGACAACAAGCACGAATATGTACGACTGGTGGTTGAACACAAGCTCCTCTCATCCGTCAAGGAACAGATGGAGAAATTTTTGCAAGGTAGGATCTCTCGAGGCATTTATAGATTTTTTTGTCTCTTTTCTAATCACGTTTATCTCGTTTTAGGCTTCCATGATATCATTCCTGCCGAGTTGATCTCCATTTTTAATGAGCAAGAACTGGAGCTGCTCATTTCTGGTCTTCCCGATATTGACATTGATGACTGGAAGAGTAATACGGAATATCAGAATTATACACCATCATCTCAACAGATTCAATGGTTTTGGCGAGCTGTTAGGTCCTTTGATAAAGAGGAACGCGCCAAGTTGCTTCAGTTTGTGACCGGTACCAGCAAAGTCCCCCTCAACGGATTCAAGGAACTCGAAGGCATGAATGGCATCAGTCGTTTCAACATTCATCGAGATTATGGTGACAAGGATCGATTACCCTCATCTCACACTTGCTTCAATCGTAAGTATCCATTAGCAATTGTGCAAAGGTCCGGAAATTTTTGCGGTTTGTGTAAGCTGACTAGTGCTGCAGAACTTGATCTCCCAGAGTACGAAAGCTATGACATGTTGCGAGCTCAACTTCACAAAGCCATTACCCAAGGCAGCGAGTATTTCGGATTTGCATAGAAAATGCATGTGATGACGCAACAACATAATAAGAACGCCGAAGCATAGCGTGGTCAGACCAAACAACGGCGTCATGGTGTTGGAAGTGTAAATCAGCAGGCCCTGGTCGCATGGCTTTACGATTCGCTGGTCTTGTACTTTTGCCTTTGGGGGTTTCCGTTGGTTTCATTTCCGAGTAGTGCATATCGGTTAGAGAGTGGCTAATGAGCGGGCGGCCCAGTGCCCTTCAGGTGATTGGACTCTATGGAGATTGCCGCTACACAAAGTATCTGGATTGGTCAGACTAGGGAGAAGTGCAGGTCTCACTGGAATGGTCATTCAGAGATTGATGTCACATGAAGGGGAACAAAAGCGTGTAGAGTATGGAAATTCGCAAGTAGAGTAAATATTACTTTATAGGACTTTATATGCATGGGCTGAGCAGGGACGTGACGGAGGAAAATGTGATGTGATGATATTGGCCAGCACTTGGGCTAGTGACGGTTGACATATTTACCATGTACGAGGATCTTGGCAGTCGATGCCGATGCAGACCAGTATCATCACAAAGACAGATACAAAGTACTATTAGATGCGGTCACACGATTGGAACAAGAGTTAATTTGAACGTGGCATCAAGAATGCATTTTGATGAAGTCAGAAAATGCTCTCTAATACATTCGTGATCAATTGGTGAGGACTGGTACTTTCAAAACCACATGAAAACCCCCTCGCCCTAGGGATATTGATTGTAAGAAACCTTCACTCCCAACTGCATGCATGCAAATTTCCCCACAGGAACCAAGGTGAATTTTTCCACTTTTTTATTTTGTCATTATACGAAAACGCAACGCCAGAGCCATGTCAACCCGCTTTTACTTGCGCATAGAAGAGGCGCGGCGCTTACGGGCATCGGCCTTGTGGGCCTTGGCCTCGGCGACACGCTTGGCAAGGATCTGGGCGTACTCGTTCTATGGAGGCATTAGTCAAATTTGTAGTCTTTACAACGGGGCGCCGAGATGGAAAAAAGAACTTACGGCCTCGTCCTTGACCTTCTCGGCCTGGCGGCGCTTGAGGGCAGCGCGATGGCGCTTGTGCTGGAGACGCTGGGGGGTGACCAGTCTCTGAATCTTGGGGGCCTTGGTGTAAGGCTTCTTGCCCTCACCCTTGGGCTGGACCTCGCGGCGGATGACGTACTTGCGGACCTGTTATCCGGAGGGGTGCTACATTAGTCTCTAGTCACAAGTTTTGTTGTACTCTGGTTCCGGTGGGTATAAAGCAGAGGGAGGGAGAAGAACAGAGGACGGTGGAATTTTGCCCATGGACACAAAAAAAACGCCATTATTTTTGGTTTCCCCGTTAATGGCGTTTTTTTGTGTCCCCGTTTCTTTCCATCCTCCTCAGAGCTTCATACCCACGGACTTGTTCATCTCACTCTCTACCCGGACTGCCATAACCAACGCCGCAGCTCCGAGTAGGCGATGACCGAGTATGGATCGTAGGAGGTGTAACATACATCGTCATCCTTGGTGAGGCCAAAGAACTTGCGGATCTTGGTGGCACGCTTGGGACCCAGGCGCTTGGGGTGGACGACGTCGGTCAGGCCGGGGATGTCGTTGTCGCCTTGCTTGACGATGCTGAGGGCCAGGACGGACAGGTCCATGCCGACGATGCAGCCGCGGACCGACTTTCTCTTGCGCTCGCCGGAGCGGCGAGGGCGGTAGCAGGAGTGGCCTTCGGAGAGCAGGAGGCGGACACGGCCGGGATGCATGACACCCTGCTTCATAGGGAAACCCTGCTTGTCGTTTCCTCCAGTGATGCGGAAGATGTAGCCCTTGAACTCGTCGCCGACAGAGTCGCCAGCAACTTCGGCGCCCATCTGTTTCATATGGTTAGCTCAAAAAGCTTGATTGCTTCGGGACTCCGCCTGAGGCTGTCTCCCCCCTTTCGTGTTGTCCAGCATCTCTCGGACAGTCGAAGTGGAGGGAACAGCATCGGGTTTTTGGTCGAGGGGTGGAACGGTTCGGGATTCGGACGTACGCGCTTCTCCATGAAGACGGCGAGCTTGCGCTCATCATCAATGTCGATGAGCTTCTGGCTGCCATTGGCAGGGTAGGAAATGTTCAACTGTGCAGAAGCGTGTTAGCCAACCATTTCTTTTTTTTTTTTCCTTTGATCGATTCAAAGATTCGACTCTGCGCGACGATGATGGTTTCTCTCGACATGTGCAAGGTGTTGGACATGTTGAAATGCCAGTGTGATACGCCAGTGTTTCCCATTGATCGTCGGCGAGGTCGCTTCTTTTGCGTTTGCAGCTGAGAATGCGGATTCGTACCTTCATCTTGCCAGTTGTGGATGGTGCAAGTTGACTTGACCTGGCGCGTGTGAAGTCTGTGATGGATGCAGAGGGATGGAAGAGCAGGAAAAATTGACGAACGAATTCGAGAAAGTGTGTGCCGCTAGGGTTCCCTCTTCTGCCTCTTCTGTGTGTGGAAAAAAGAGAAGTGGCCAATGATAATTTGCGAGCGGGGCTCGGTTGAGAAGCGGTTCTCTGCCACAGTCATTAGCCATAAGAAGCGGTTTGCGCCACATTCGATGTTCTTTCTCCCCCACCTCGCCGTCTAAGTTCTGGTCTTGGTCGGTCATATTAGCAATGAAGCAACATCAAGCTCAATTTGTAGTTCGTAAATATCTGTTGATTAGCAAGCATGTAGTGACATACAAAGATGGTCCCCCTCCTTTTGTCGTCGCAAGTCAACGTCTCCGGCGGCGGTGGTGCGCCCTGCCACAAAACTCCAATGCCACCATGTTCCGTCTTCTCACGCGCGAAGCTCTTCGCACACCCAAGTCAAACGACACTTCATGACATTATCCTACTCTCACTCAGTGCACCACCCCAAGAACTCACCAAGCCTTTCAAATTATAAGCATAGACAACAACAAGGGAAGACCCAAACCCACACCACCACGCTCTTCCAAAATAGAGAAAATTCCACCAATAATGTCAGCAAAGCTTCACCCCCCATCGAAACCATTACAACCAAAATCCAATCCTCTACCCCCTCTCATCCAGACCCCTTCTGGCCTCGCCCTTCTCGAACTTCAGGGCACCATCAATCTGCCCCAGTCCGAAGACGGCCAAGCACTCAGCGGCATCGAAATCGGCAGGATTGACTTCCCGGACTACGTACCCGACGCCGAGGGTTCGGCGTGGATGAAGCGCGTCCACATGTACGTCGGCCAGCACCAGCGCCTGACGGGGGAGGTGAAGAAGCTGCCCAAGGCCATTGCCGTCATCAGTCGGCGCGAGAACAGGGTACTAGAGAATTCGGCAGGGACGTACCTGGAGGAAGGGGAGAACTTGGAGGTTGTCGAGATTGTCAAGTACAAGATCATGTTTTCAAACCGGCCGGAGCCCGTGGGGACGACGAATGCGTCTTAGACGGCATGGTGTATTTGCAACCAAATAGCGGGGTCTGTTTTTGCTATCCTTTTTCTTTCCTTATATACGATTGTATGGCATTTATTCTAGGGACATATCCCGCGTCTAGGCCCCCCGTGGTGATTGCAACATGCCGGCCAACTCTTGCACCCTCTTGACAGCCGGTCCCCTCAACGCTTCATCAGGGGCCTCTGAAATAAACACCAGTGCTATCATCAAGGCCGCGTCAAATCTCAAAAGGGTCCCTTCCTCCGCCGTAACCTGCGGCAGCGGCACAATATCAGAATACGCCTCCAGAAACTCGCTCCCGGGCTTCTCCAGCTCCATGATTCTGTACAAATCCACGGCCGTCGGTCCAACCAGGCAGTTGGTCCAGTCTAGAACGGCCACTATTCGGCCCCGTCTCACGCGGAGATTGACGCCCCGAAGGTCCATGTGTAAGAGACGCAGAGGAAACCGTCGCAGTTTCTCGGCAATCCCCTGCAGGACATGTCTTTCCGGAACCCAGCTCTTGGAGGCGGGTTCATGTTTCAAGAATTGCTGAAATCGCCGGACCATCCGATTGACCAAGGCTGTGAAAACATCGCCGTCCTCCATGGCTACGAGTTGAGTATCCCAATCTTTTGGCACGTGGGAGGTGTGTATTAGGGCGGCCACACGGCCCACCTCGGCGGGCGATGCTTGAGTTCCGTCATCCTCGATGAACTCGCTCAGCATGGCGGGATAGCCATTGGTCTCGAGGAGTTCAAATGCCCGAGGTACGGGGACCGGGCCGCCGTGTAAGAGTTTGTAGATGCCTAGCTCTTGGGCGAGGAGCTCTCTGGAGTCATTGTTTGGGTCATTGGCGTTTTGGAAGACTTTGTGCTGGGGAATGCGGAGGGCTACAGGACCGTAATGTGGTGACTGCGCCTTGTAGACAAGGAATTCGAGGCCCTCGGCCACGGATTCGACATCTGTCAGCTGGGCGGCGGTGACGAAGGGATGTGCTGGGGCGCGGGCGCGGTTCATTGTAACTTGACGAGGCCTTGAGCTACTGCCGAGTTGCTATCGTAACGAGATCCTTTTCGATATCGACGCTACTTTCTTCTTATTACCATGTTTTGCTGACATTATACGGGCAGTCGTGCTGTAAATATCGTGCGAGTGGTGGAGGAGGTAAAGTTGGACGCGAGGAGAATGCGCTGCCATAACGACTTGGTGCGTCACCATCCCAACTGCAGGACGTGAATGCCATGAGCATCCATCCCATTCCATCCCATCCCATCCATTGCATATTTGGACGAGCACCGTGATGATGATTCATTCATTCGCTAGTTTATTCGATCTAAAAAAAAAATATTTTTCTCTTTTTCCCCTTTTCAACTTGCCTCTAAAGGTCTCGCCCTCCCCAAGCCCTCCTTGCCATAATAATCCATCGGATACACACTCCCCTTATCCCACTCCTCCTTTACCCCCAACGCAACCAAGGCCTCATACGGTGTCAGCAACGGCCGTGGAAATGCATACCCCCAGTCAATACTCAACCGTGGACAAGCCACTTGCACCCAACACTCAACGTCACTCATCACGGCCAGTTTCCCCGGGAAAATCTCACTCAGCAGCAGGTTCACCCACGGTATGCCCTTCTCCTTGAGCCTCTTCTCAATAAGAGCCATGGTATGTGGATTTCCCTGTCTGCCCAACGAACCCAATATAAGCCCCCACCGCTTGGCCGTTCTAGCCGTGTGAATCGCACTCCGCCGAAGAGACTGCATCTCATCGTGGCCGTACGTCTCACGCGTAAGCTTCCTCGAGTACGGATCGTACCTGTACGCCGGTATCGAAGGATTGTGGATCATGATGCTCTCCAGGTGGAAGCGGCCATCGCCAAGGTACAGAATCATGTCGACGGCATCTTCGTCCTTGAGCCGGGGGGATGTGCAGCCCAGGATTTCACCTTTGCTGAGGGGCGCGATTTGCGGGACGAGCACCTTGAAGCCTGCTGCTTCGAGATTGCTCCGCACGCCGTGGATGGTGGCGTTGAACTGAATGGTGCCCACGACGGCCATGGTCTTGCCCGTGGCGAAGTTGCGCTCCAGGGAAGCCAGCAGGTGCGCCGTGTCGATGCTGATGTCGACGAAGACGTAGAGCGTCTTGATTTTGGTCACGTCGACGGGGATGAGACAACTGTGCGCATAGTGTACCAGCAGATCGCACCCCAGGGCTCGCGCCGTGTAATCGTCTATGCAGCATGCGCCGTAGGTGACATCCCCCATGATGAGGGTCTCAATGCCAGGACAAAACTGCGTGAGAATGTCCGAGATGGTGGTGGCGAAGAGCAGGAGGCCTTCGGGCATCTGGAGAGCCACCTTCTTGGCTCCCGAGGTTCGGATCCTGTGGATGGTCTTGGGGATTTCAAAGCTGTAGTTGGCCGGGAGCAGGGCGATGGCTTCCTTGAGGTTTGGATCATCGAGGATCTCCCTGGGGACTCTGTTCAAAAGACGGGGTGCTCGTCTTGGCTTGGCGGCTGGTGAAATTGCGTCAAGACTGATGAATATTCACAATAGCGTCTGCTGGTGACAAACCACGAACCTTGAATGGCGCCGCTTTCGCCGTCGGCGCCTGTCGTCCCATTCTTTGCTGCTGCCTCTGCGGCTGCCCTTCTGCCTACGAATCGTTTCTTGGGCTGCTTGGTGGTGGATTGAGGAGTGTAGTCGCTTGTGGGTTCAGGTTGATGAGCCTGGGTGAGTTGGGCTTCCTCAATGTCTGCGGCGATGCCGAGGTCGACTTGCGCCCGGTCGTCTTCCATGGAGCACACAATTCAGTGGTTGTTGGGGAAATTTTCTGTGTATACCCTCCGTCAAAATCTAATATCGCCCAAAATTGGCGTGTTTATCGTCCACGTATAGGTGTTGCCAACTCTTGCGTGACCAGGTGCAGGTGTGAGTTTTTTGGTTCCGCTTTTACGATTGGTTGGAGTGTAACTTAGTGATCAAAGCCGTGGCTTCTCTTGCTCTGCCGCCCCGTGAATGTAAATCCTCTGAAATCTTCTGCGTGACACTTCCGAGCACGGAGACTATTTTTTTTTTTTTTTCAAAAAAGAGAAATCAACAAAAATAAAGTCACACCAGCCTATTCCTCATATCACAGTTCATTTATTAGCATAGCGAGTACCAAACACACCACCGGCGCAAGTATATACCATAAGTTATAACCAACCCATCCTCCCCGCGCCACCTACGACGACGGAGTCTTGCACTTCTTCTTTTCATGATCAGAGACCAAACTAAACCTGTACTTGGCCTGTAACACATACGGATCACCGCCAGGCTCATAAATCTGCTTCTTTCCACGCATCCACTCAGGGTTGTTGATGCCGTCAATGTAATCCTGGACCTCGAGCACGACACATCCATACTTGGGAATGGTGCGAGGAAACCTGTCCTTGTTGTCCCCCGTCACGCCCTGCGTCCTCTTGAGGGCCATGGTGCCATTCTGCCCGTTGCACGAGTATATCTGGAAGGCGTCCTGGTCAGTGAAGACATCGAGCTGGATGCCAGACCAGGGGGACGACAAGGTGGTGACGGGGCCTTGCTTGCGCCAGTCGTAGGGGCCGATGGCGCCGCGGTTGTTGATGAAGCAGTTATCTGCGAGGACATTGTCAGCATCAACGAATAACGCCTGTCTGTTCGTTTCATCAATCTCACCGTAGCCTGTGCAGTTGAACCCGCAGTTGTTCACAATACCCTCGTCCCCGAACGAGGCTCCAACCTGCTTGGGCTCGCTCCAGAAGTCATTGACGCCGCCCTTCTTGTTTGGCAACAACTCGCCCGTCGGGATGAGGATGTTGTCCACGCCCACACGGAAACCGGCATACGGCATATGCAGCGTATGGTTGAACACCTTGCTCGTTTGGTTATTCGCAAAGCCATCCAGGTTCCAGTACGTGTGGCTGCTCAGCATAATGGGCGTCTTCTTAGTCGTCGCCTCGGCGACCATCTTTAAATCCCAGTCTCGTCCGTTCAGACTGTACGTTACGACAGTCACGACCTCTCCGGGAAATCCTTCCTTGCCGTCGGGGTCAACCAGGGAAAAGGTAATGCTGTGGTTGGAGTGCGAAACAACGGTGAAGTTGCGCCAGTCCCAGCCATCCGGGCCGCCGTGGAGGGTATCGACACCGTCGGGGTGGCTCTTGGTGGGATTCTCATTCGCCTTGACGTGATACTTCTTCCCGTCGATTTCAAAGGTGCTGTTCTTGATGCGGTTGGCATAGCGGCCGGGAACACCACCAAAGTGAGGGTGTTGCTTGTCAATGCCGTAGTAGGAAGCGTTGTCGAAGCCAGCAACGATGTCGCGCTCAATTCCGTACTGGTCCTTGACCATGAAGTTGGAAACAGAGGCGCCGTAGGCAACAAAGGCGGCAGAGATGCCGTCGCCATAGATCCAGTACTTGCCGTCCTCGTCAGGCTTTGGCTCGTTGTTGGTGTTGGCGTCTGCGTCGGCGGCGCATGTTGACGGCAGCACCGCGAGCGCAGCGAATGCCAAGAACTGCAAAGTCGACTTCATGGCAGCGAATTCCTGGGCTGAGAGTCAAGTCCAATTGATTCCGTGGCCAGCCAAGACTCCGTCACTATCTCAGCAACTCTTTGCGCAGCAGACAGATGCCTGGTCTGATTCAGATGCGCGTGTCTCGCAATGCTCTGGATCTGGAATAACAACAAAAACAAGAACCGAAAATGTCCCACTCAAGGACTTGCACGAGTTGTTGCACAAACAGCTACTAAAACACTGAGACAATTGGATGAATTGGTGGCCCAACGGGCGTTTATAAAATGCCCAGTGCAACGCTGCTGATGGACGGATCCCCCATCCCACGATGCCGTGCTGCTGGTCAATTCCTCCTCCCATCTGCAAGATCAGAACGCTCAGCAACGTGCTTTCTCCTCCTCATGTAACCCTCCCTGCAGGTAGGTATCACGCACCCCGACAAACCAACCCGAAGGAGACGCTGTTTACGCCTAGGGTCAAGGGCACTAATTGGCCCGTTGGGTCAGGAATACGTAGCGACGCCGATCATCTTGCCAAGAGGTTGGCACTTGGGCAAAGTACAAGTAAAAGAGCCCATCTCCGCATCATGTCACCCGTCTAGAGTAATAAGTGCCAATTTTCCAAGCAAATGAGATGCAGAGAGACATATCCGCACCCATCAGCGTTCAGATTCATCCCCAAACTTTCCAACAACGGGCATTTTTCTCTCCACTACAGAGTACGGGGTACGGGGTATGTGCATGCAATAGACCGGGGATGGATGGGGCTGCCAGATCCTTCCTTGGCTGGCCATTCATCCGCAGCTGCACCGCCAACACCCCGTCCATTGAATGACAGCTCATGTCTGTCACCAGTGCACACAGGCCGTAGCCAGCCAAGTTACTCGGGCAATTCTGGGCCCCAGCGCCTTGCAGGCTGGCACCTGTACGGAGTACTAACTACTCAGCAACCCAGGCCAGCAATTGAGCTGCGCGGCGCGCCCAACTACGCCACCAACGAAACTAACTGCAGCGGGCTACTCCGTACTCCGTACGACTTTCAATCTTGACCTTGCCACCTTGCCATGCTGCAGCACCCAAGTAGGCCCGAAAACACCACACAAGCCCATGGACCAGATGACCGGCACTCCGCATGCCTGCCTTGTCGACACCAACAGTATCATCATGACTGGGACCTGCAAGTGCGAACCAGTCCACCGACCAACTTGCTTCATTACCTACTAGGTACCTAGGCCCTTGCTCGCGCGGCTTACACTAACCCGAGGGGACGTGCCATGGCATCACACATTGAGCTACGACCTTCAACATGCGTTTTTATGACGCTCTTGCACAATTGGGTGTTCGTTTCTTCTCCTTCATCCTTCATCGTCATAGATAGCCACTTGATTCCAGGGGCCATCTTTCTGCTTCAATCGGCACAACTGCTGCAGCCGCTACTCCGGACATTCACGTACTGAGACTCATATTCTAATACAAATAACCATGAAATTGCTACCTTCTCCCACAGAACTAATATCAAATATCGCACAACAAGGCTGCCCTCCGCCGCATTTATACACATACGCAACAAGGGCAGCGCTTTGCCACCTTGCATTGTACCATATGTTCTGGCCCCTCCTTATACTTTGTCTATTATACTGGCCGCAAGCAAAAAAGAAAAAAAAACATGCATAGATATGTATATATCTGCCGCAAACAACGTCACTTTCAGACGCAAACATATTCCTATGCGTCAATCAAGTTCTCCTCCCTCTGTTGCTGGTCCTTTGTCGCCACATCCTCTCGAGCCTTGCCCTTTGACTTGGCATCTTTCTGTGCACGCTGGTAGAACTCGTTCAACACCTTGGCCGGGATTCGGTTCAGGAGATCCTTGGGGTAGATACGCAGCAAGCTCCATGCGAGATCCAACGACTCGAAAATAGTGCGTGACTCGTAGGCTCCTTGACTGATAAACTGACGCTCAAACTTCTCCAAGAACTCCAGAGACAGCTTGTCTTCGGCAGACAACGCTTCTTCACCAACGACTGCCTTCATGGCAGCAGCATCACGGCCAATGGCATACTTGGCATACAGCTGATTGGACACATCACCGTGATCACGGCGAGTCATGCCCTCACCAATAGCCGACTTCATCAGACGAGACAGCGACGGGAGCACGTTGATAGGCGGGTAGATACCACGGTTGTGCAAAGGACGGTCAACGAAAATCTGGCCCTCGGTAATATATCCCGTCAAATCAGGAATAGGGTGAGTGATATCGTCGTTGGGCATGGTCAGAATAGGAATCTGAGTAATGGAGCCATTACGTCCCTCAACACGGCCGGCACGTTCGTAAATGGTGGACAAATCAGTGTACATGTAACCGGGGAAACCACGTCGCCCTGGAACTTCTTCTCTAGCGGCTGAAACCTCGCGGAGGGCATCGCAGTATGCAGACAAATCCGTCAAGATGACGAGGACGTGCTTCTCGAGTTGGTAGGCGTAGTATTCGGCTGTCGTAAGAGCAAGACGAGGTGTAATGATACGTTCAATACTAAAAGGCAAAAATTATCAGCAGGCACATTCCCAGGCAACGCAAGCGGCATTTACATAGCAATCAGAACCTACGTAGGATCGTTTGCAAGGTTAAGGAACAAAGTGGTGCGTTCCAAGCTGCCATTCTCCTCGAAGTCGCGTGTGAAAAATCGAGCGGTTTCCAAGTTGACACCCATGGCACCAAAAACAATAGAGAAGTTTTCTTCGTGAGCGTCGTGAACACCCTTGTTGGTCACGCCGTGCTGCTTTACCAGACCGGCTTGTCGACAGATCTGGGCGGCAATCTCGTTGTGTGGCAGACCGGATGCGGAGAAGATAGGAATCTTTTGGCCTCGGGCAATCGAGTTCATCGTATCAATGGCAGAGATACCGGTAGAGATCATTTCCTCGGGATATTCCTGACGACTGTGAGCACTTGACTCCTGTGGAACGTAGAATATAGGATGCACGTACTCTCGAGTATGGGTTGATGGGACTTCCGTTAATGTCGAGGTATTCTTCGGCCAAGACTTTGGGTCCTTTATCAATGGCACGTCCGGATCCGTCAAAGATACGACCAAGCATATCCTCAGAGACACCAAGCTTCAAGCTCTGGCCAGTGAACTCAACTCGTGTCTATGGAGAGCTGTCAGCCATCGTGGATATTCGTCGCATGAGGAAAATTTCATCAGCCTACTTTCTTAACATCAACACCAGAAGTACCCTCAAAAACCTATCGAATTGCGTCAGCAACCATCAAAGGCGGATCATCCTTTGTGCATCACGTACCTGGACGACAGCTCGATCACCTGTCCAAAGGCCGTTAGCAAAATCGTCACTGCAGCAACATGTGATGACAAACCTCGAGCCTCCAAAACCTGACCAGATCGCACAGATCCATCAGGGAGTGTCAGCGACACAATCTCGTTATATCTCGGGAATTTGACCTAATGACGCCATTGTCAGTATGAACGGCCGGCTATCCAGCTTGTTTGGTCCTCCTACATTCTCAAGAATGACCAGCGGGCCGTTGACACCGCCAACAGTGTTGTATCGGATTCGCGGCACGACCGAGTACGACGACGACTCGCGAGGGTCCCCCATGATGATGACGGCAAGAAGCTATGGCAAAGTCCAGTGGGGGTACGGCAGGATAAAGGCGTCAGCTTAGGGTACGCAGAAGACGAAAGAAAAAGCCGGCTGAGCCAATTCTGGTGGTGACAACGGCTCTCCTTGGAAGGGGGGACGAGTTGTTGCGGTTGAGATGAGGCCTTAGCTTTGACGGAAAGCGAACTGATTAAGAACCCATGAAACTGTGACAAGACGAGGTTGGAGGAGGTTGAGCTTGCTTGGCATCGAGTGGAGCATCCGCAGCAACCTGAAGCCAGTACAGGACCCACGCCCACGGAGGATTTGGCTTGAAAGCGGGCCCGGCTTGCTTCTCAAGATGCTGGCCTACCTGAGAGTTCACACAGACGTTAGTGGCATCACATGACTGGCAGCTTGGTGAATTCCCCAGAAACTGCCCCTCCAGATTGAGCATTCGAGATCAGTCAACGTTAACCTCAAGTGGTGGTGTAGGTGTGAGACTTTGGGCTTGATATTGCGACTACATGGCGGGCGAAATGCGACAAAGAACAAAGAGCTTTTTCATAGCAATATATCACATAATCGTCAGGTTCGCACATTACATATATAGCCTTTGAAGGCCCTTGCATGAGGGCAATAGAAGTGAATCTTACTGGCCACCACATGAGGCTACACTCCAAGTTCGAGTTCAGATGACTAAACGCCATGAGATCACACAATGTGTCTTCCAGTATGGGTATGCCCTCCCGGTACCATCTACCCAATGCCTCCAAACCTTAAGCCTTGGCAGCCTCGGCCGTAGCTCTAGCCCTCGCCCCCAGCACCGCTTTTCCAACAGTACTATCATTCGGCTTGCCCAACTCCGACGTAATCCACGACCCAATATCGGCCATGGCATCCAAGTCAATGCCAGTATCCATGCCCAGCGTCTCCATAAAGTATACCATGTTCTCCGTGGCGACATTACCAGTCGCGCCAGGGCTATAAGGACAGCCGCCAAGTCCACCTACGCTGCTGTCGAACGTTCTAATACCGTGCTCCAACGACACCGCAGTGTTGACTAATGCCTGTCCATACGTGTCATGAAAGTGCATGGCGATGTCCTCGGTGCGAAGGCCCGCAGCAGACATGCACCTCAGCAAGGCACTGGTGCGAGGCGCAGTACCCATGCCGGTAGTATCACCCAGGGAAATTTCATCGGCTCCCGACTCGAGAAGATCTGTGGCGACTTCAGCGACCTTGTGGGGGTCAACGTCGAATCCTTCAAAGGGGCACCCCAGAACAACAGAGATATATGCACGAACTCGAAGACCTAGAGCCTTGGAGTCCTGGATGACAGCCTTGAATCGCTCCAAGGACGTCTGGATATCGCAGTTGAGATTCTTTTGCGAGAAGCTCTCGGTGGCTGCCGCAAATACGGCGACCTCCATTGCAGGCTTAGGTTCGCCGTTGCTATCGGCTCGAGGGTCGAGTTGGGTGGAAAAGGTTTCGGGGTTGGCTTTCAGAATATCGGCACAGTTTTGGAGCCCCTTGGTGTTGGGTACCAGGAAGGAATAAGTCATGGGAACAGGTGCTTGTACTTTCTTCTGAAGCAGGTGCTCAAGAATTTCACTCGAATTTGCCATCTATACCGCAGCACTGTTAGCATAATCGCCCTGCGTACGCTTCCTAATCCCCAAAACCTCAAACCTCATCCCTCCTGCGACAACGATCAACACACCTGAGGAACCCATTTCGGCGAGACAAAAGACCCGGCCTCAATCGTAGAAACACCAGTCCTGGCTAACCGCTCAATCAGATCAATTTTGGTTGCAAGCGAAATTGCCTTCTTCTCATTTTGTAATCCATCGCGAGGACCAACCTCGACAAGCTTGACCTTGTTATTCGATGTAGCCTGTTGGCTGTTGGCTGTCGCAAAACCCCGTCGCAGCCGGAATTGAGACCGTCTGCAGGCCCTGCAAACCACTGATCGGATGAGAGTCATGCTGGCGGTCAGTACAAAGCTCATAAAAAGGAAGGATGAGGAGACGTGAGGAGAGCCAGCTCGTCGGCCGTCTTGGACTTTCATCTGTCGTCGCGTAGCGTCGGCTTCCATCTCGGCCCGGCAATCAGCCGACCGCAATGAAGCCACCCCCGCGTCAAACCGAGTTCACAGCTTACAGGAATGGCCGAAACTGGGACTAGCCGTATCATTTAAACAGTTCAACATGGTATAATGGACATCTTACATTTTGAATCTACAGAGTTTTAGGACATTAAAGCAGCTGGATTGGCTTATAAGTTTATAAAGAAAAAATAAACCCTTCAAGGGGCTAGGGTATGAGTCCAGAATTAAAAAACAGTGGCCACTGGCGCTTAATCATTCCTTTCGTGCAACACTGTCTAGTATTCGGCCTCAAGCTCCTCCTCACCCATTGAGTCGGCAGCAACTTCCTCGTAATCACGCTCCAGAGCAGCCAAATCCTCACGGGCCTCAGAGAATTCACCTTCCTCCATGCCCTCACCAACGTACCAGTGCACGAAAGCACGCTTGGAGTGCATCAAATCAAACTTCATAGACAAAGAGCTCCACGCTTCAGCGATGGCAGTGGTATTGGACAGCATGCAGCTATATAATATTAGCAACCTTGGTCATAATTTTGGTCAGTGCATAATTGATGAGTAGATGACTTACACAGCGCGGTTGACCTTTGCCAAGTCACCGTTAGGAACGTTCTCAGGAGCCTGGTAGCAGATACCAAGTTTGAAACCAGTAGGGCACCAGTCAACGAACTGAATCGTGCGCTTGGTCTTAAGGGAGGCAACAGCGGCGTGGGTGTCGTTAGGGACGACGTCACCGCGGTACAGCAGGCAGGTAGCCATATACTTGCCGTGACGGGGATCACACTTGACCATCTGGTTGTTGGGCTCAAAGCAAGACATGGTGATCTCCTGCACAGAGTTGGCCTCATGAGCAGCCTTGGCAGCCGAGATGACGGGGGCATAGGCGACCAGAGGGAAGTGAATTCTGGGATAGGGCACCAAGTTGGTCTGGAACTCGTTCAAATCGACGTTGAGGGAACCATCAAAACGAAGAGAGGCCGTGATTGAAGAAACGACTACAAAAAAAATTAAAAATCAGCATTGTCCCACCTTCAAGGTCAACCGAGCCTGTTATCAAGCTTACCCTGGGCAATCAGGCGGTTCAGGTTCTCGTAGTTGGGGCGCTCTAAGCCCAGATTGCGGCGGCAAATATCGTAGATGGCCTCGTTGTCGACCATGAAAGAGCAATCAGAATGCTCAAGGGTGGTGTGGGTAGTGAGAATCGAATTGTATGGCTCGACAACCGAGGTGGCAGTCTGGGGCGCCGGGTAAACGCAGAACTCGAGCTTGCTCTTCTTGCCATAGTCGACAGACAGACGCTCCATCAAAAGAGCACCAAAACCAGAACCGGTACCACCGCCGAAGGAGTGGAAAACGAGGAAGCCTTGAAGACCAACACAGTTATCGGCAACGCGGCGAATCTTGTCGAGGACACCCTCAATGAGCTCCTTGCCAACGGTGTAGTGGCCACGAGCGTAGTTGTTGGAAGCATCCTCCTTGCCAGTGATCATCATTTCAGGGTGGAAAAGATTGCGGTAAGCACCGGTACGGACTTCATCGACGACATTGGGCTCGAGATCGCAGTAGATGGCGCGAGGTACATACTTGCCCTGACCTAGATTGAGCGAGTGTTAGCCGTTGAACATGGCTCAGGGGCTAGCATCAAGATCACAAAAAGAGGGGGGAGGCCGTACCCGTCTCGGAGAAAAAAGTGCTGAAGCCCTGATCCGGGTCCTGAGCCTTGCGCTCCTCGGTGAGATAGCCATCAGGCTGTCACAACAATTGTGGACGTTAGCCATATCGTTCGGGTGTGGGTGGAGATTTGTCAACGGCAAACGGTCATTTACCTGAATACCGTGCTCGAGGCAGTAGAGCTACAGCCCAAATTCAAGTTAGCAACATTATCATGGATCAAGGGATAAGAATCATTAGTCAAGCATACCTCCCAGCAAGAATTGGCGATTTGACAGCCAGCCTGGCCGACTATGCTCGCAGTGTTAGCGTCTCCAAACAGCTCGGGGCAACGATGCGGTGAGCAGCGACGCGTGTGGGAAGGCCAAAGGAGGGGCATTAAAGCTCCTTACCGTTGATGCTGATAACCTCACGCATGGTGACGAATATTACAACAACACAAGTTTGGGTAGAAGGGTATGTATGAAAAGGACGAAAGGAGACAGTGGGAAGGGTCGAAGCCGAGACGAGGCTCTTTTTTCTTCTCTGGTCCACGGGATCCGGTGCGTGTGAGGTTAAGAAGTCTCGGTGCGTGACGGGCGAAGGAAAATAGGTGGGGGAAATTTGGGTGTCCAGGGGGGAGGGGGCGAGGGAGCGAGGGAGATGCGTTGCTGTCCAGGGATTTGTTGATTTCCTGGTCGTGGCTCGAAGAGGTAAGCGCGTCTCTGAGGTCCCTGCCAACCGTCTAAACTGACTACGCCATACCCGAGTGTCAACTGGTGTCTCTGGCTGCCGCGTCCCTGACACTGGGCGTCCCTCACCGCTCTAGGCTGAGCAGTTCACCACTCAAAGTGCAGTCTTCGGCTTGGCTGATATCGACTGCTCGAGTGGCTCCAGATGCTTCCCGGATGGCCTGTGGATGGCTACAATTCGTAACCCGGGCCCGCAAAACCCCCTGCCCAGATGGCGCTATGGCAAACTCTGTGCACTGTTTACGTATTGCTTCATTTGACGAGAATCCACCTCGTTCACACGTCCGCCACGCTACCCGAGGCCAAGCAACCACGCCCAAGTTGTTTCGACGGGGTAATACAGTACGAGACAGCAGACCGGGACACGCTTCCTACTCTTCCGGCCAGACCCATGGCGAGGACCCCAACCTTGGATGCTGCATTGCCGTGGTGAGCGGCTCGATCATCCCATCAATCCCACACAGGCAGCCATTCTTGATGGGGCCCGAAAGGCAACTAATTAAACATCCGACCAGTTACTCCCTGTGATCCCAAGCACGCCAGGCTGATCGAAAGGAACAATACACTGACGGCCGTAATCCTGAATTTCGGTGCCCATTCGTGACCCTCGAGCTCATCGATTAGGAGCCGGAAAACCCCTCCATTCCAGAGTCTCGTTGACAGTGTGGTCATTTACGGAACACCAGACAGTATCAGCTAAGCTGTCCCATCACTGCACATGCAACCAAATCGGATTGGCCTTTATATGTCGCAGCTTGACTCGAGGCTGTGGTGATCAATCTGAAGCTGAAGCTTCACTCGCAGTGGTTGACCAATGGGAAGCTGTGCTCGTAACATCAACGCAACCTCCTGGAGTCCTGAACCACCGCCATGATGCCTCCCACGTCAAGCCCCGTGAAGACGTTGGTCTATATAATACTCCTCCTATGCATACTTGTCAAGTGTGTCGTCGGGAATGTTGAAAAAATTATATTCATCGGCCCTCCCCCCTCCGCCACAGCCAGCAGCAACAACCCTGCACTATCATCACTCAACATCAACACCCTGACGCAGGATGAATTATCCGTCCGGACAAATTTGGATCGCATTTTTGCATCCGAGCAAATGAGTTTTCAGGGACAGTCGTCCTGGATTCTGCTCACAAACCTGACTGAGAATAAGAGATACGAGTTGAGAGTCTGCTGGTCAGCATTGGTAAGTACAATCGATCACCCAGAGATCATCTACATTTTGTATCATGAGAAGCTATATTAGCCCTGGCCCAGTCTCATGCTCGATCAGGAACCAACTCGCTTCAACATGGAAGCCTACACCCTAGATACAGTCCTAGAGAATGACAAGCTCCTCCACTCTCTGAGTGCCTACGCGGCGTCGAGGCCAAATATCCAGACAACAAGGCAGTCTACTATCATTCCAGATAGCTCTTCGCTTCTTGTCGAAATTCACTCCGCGGCTGATTATTTCACCGACAACGCGGAACTTATGACCAACCCTCCACCCGTCCTGGTCGATCTCATCCTAGACCCGTTTCTTTTCAACGTCCTTCCCAAGTCGCTGCTGCCCACAGTAGGCTATCTAAGTCTCCTCGGCATCGTGACCTGGTTTGCAGCGCGATGGGTCGCATCTAGCCTCCAATCTGTAGCTGATTTGATGGAAACCCCATCCAAGAAGCAGAATTGAAGAGTGCTGCTTCATTTATCAGACACTATGTCAGACAAGGGTTCAGCGATGATATGAATGCCTCAGTTTGTTTCTTTCTTACATGCGTTCCCGTGCATGAGGAACTTGAGTCATGAAATCAAATGCGCAATTCTAGATACACAAAAAAAATATCACATGCATGCAAAGAGCATTAAGAACCCGTCGTAACTCATTTCCCGTCTACCGATGCCATCTTCGCCAGAACTCAAACCGATGCTAGGTCCAAAAGAGATGCCGGCTCCATACTGTCCGAAAATTTGTTATTATGTGCTTCCGTTCCGATGACAAACTGTGGTGCCATGAACACTCCTCCTGTTCGAGCGGTTAATAATGGCCGCTTTGATACTGTTGATGCCCTTGGTAGGGCTGGTGGCCGCCAGAATATTGCTGGTTGTAGCCACCACCCTGGTGTTGAGGTTGACCATATCCCTGATGCTGTTGCTGCTGACCACCATAGCTATGTTGCCCGCCAGAATAACCCCCCGGGCCGCCATGCTGACCTCCATATTGCCCACCGGAACTGCTCGAATTGCTGGGGTAGTTTTGGCCGTAGGTAGGCTGGTTATGCTGCTGCTGGCCGGGAAATGAAGCGCCTTGGTAGGTGTCATGAGGAGGCGGCTGACTCTGGTAATTCGATTGCTGGTTTGGAGAGTGGCCTTGAGGAGGCGGCGGTGGAGGAGGGTACGATTGCGACCCATGGGATTGATGACTCTGGGACTGATGGCCCTGCGACTGGTGGCCTTGGCTCTGGTGGCCCTGAGAGCCCTGGCTGTGGTGTTGTTGGTTCGGCGTCGAAGATGTGTTGGACGGCGGCCTGGGAGCCGAGCTCCCAGGCGGGTGGTAGGTAGGCGCGTCACCGCCAGCGTATGATCCAGCCCCGGTGTTGGAATATCCGTAGTTGTGGTTCTATTTAACCCCCCGCGCCCATCTCCGTGTTAGCACACCAGCGCAAAGAGAGGAACAAGAACCCGCCCACACCTGAGCGGCTCTCATGAACATTGCAAAAGACTTACGCCTGAGGACTCCTTGCCGCCAAACATGTGAGCTACGCCGCCAAATACAGCGCCAGCAATGCCGCCCTGGTGGCTGGGCTTGCTGGAATTCTGCCCGCCGTGATAGTTCTGCGGCGGCTCCGGCTTGTCTGACGGCGAGAACAAGTTTGACGCGAGCTGCCCGGCTAGCTTCCCAGCTATGCCGCTGCTTCCACCGCTGTGGTCGCCGCCGCCGCCGCTACTCCCGCCGAGAAACTGGCTCGCCAAGCCTCCTATGCCGCTGCCGCCCGATGATTGCTTCTTGCCGCCAAGAAGGGCATTCATAGCCATGGTCTGTCATGCATAACGGCAAAGCTCTGTCAGCATTACTCTGCGGATGAGCAAAGGTGGGATGGAAGAGGTTACTTACACCAAGACCTCGATCGCCGGACGGACCATCCACGCCTCTGGTTCCGTCCGCCATTATCGGCTCCATGGTACCGTCGGGATGTTTGACCGTCTGCGACCCATCGGGATGGGTGATGAGCTCGGGCGGCGGCGTGCCGTAGGGATGGTCAACAGCCTGTCCAGGTGTGGTGCCGGTCTTTGCGGCCTGGGTGGGAATCTCCCATTGCGACACGCCCGTGGCGAGTTGCACGTAGTAGTACTTTTTACTGGCGCCGTCCCATTGCGCAATCCAGCCGGGCGGAAGTTGAGGAGGGGCAAACGAGGGACCCTCGTTGCTCGGCGAAGTTGGGCCAGCCATGGGCCCTTTTTTGACGATGGCTGTCTGGTTTTCGTTGGAGATGCGAGGGATGAGGATGAGGGTGAGGGGGAGGGGGAGGGGCAGGGAGATTGGAGAGGAATATAAGTGATATGGCGGGAAAGGGGGGTGGGAGGTGGGCGGGTTCGCAATCCCAGACAGAGGGGAACGAAGAAGAAATTGGACCCGAGCGAAACAGCGCAAGCAGTTCTGCTTGGTGTTGTTGCGGAGAGTTGTACTCGGTACGGAGTAGAGTTGGGAATGTGGTGGGGGGCAAACTGCTGGGTTGAAGGCTAATATGGCGACGCAGGCAGGACTAGAGCCTTTGGGCCTGGCAGTGAGCGCCTGGTAGGGGCTCGCTTGAACTCTGGTCGGACTTGGCTGCAATGATGGAGCGCGCAGGTGGCAGTAGTAATAATAAGTTTGGGCTCTGTTCTATTGCTGGTCGGAGGGGCTTCGATGGGCTTCGAGAGGGTCGAGAGGGTCGAGATGGTCAAGGCTCTGGGCATCCGCAAGTCTGCACTACATGCAACTCAGCCTGCTGGTTATCGCCTATTGTCTCTGCGAAAATTAAAAAAAAAAAAAAAAAAAAAAAAAAATTCCCAGAGCGGTGCCGGCGCCGTGTTCCATTGTTTTTTGGTCGGCTTTGACATTCTCGCCGTGGCCGCTCCGTTTAATGTTCTGGACTTAGCAATCCTTCTCCTAGCATTGAAGTCCAACGCGGCGGGGCTGGCCGGCTTCAGCTTAGACTGGAGCCGCCAATTGGCGGCCTCACTGACTTCCATGTTCGACAGTTTGAACTTCGAACTGTCCCGCCATTACAGCTCCATGTCCATCTCGGTCCATCAAACCCACCATGGGTCATGGACTGAGAGATTTGTGACCAGCGACTAATAATCGACGTTTTCGCCCAAATGGCCTCAGACTGCCTATGCGTGCCTAAGTGCCCAGCGTCTGGGAAAGGCTGGTCGAACTTGTGACTATGCCACCAGGCACGCACTTACATAGGGTAAGTACTTTAGGAGCTTTGTCAGCTTCATCGGGCATGCAGCAATACTGTATGGGGTTGATGCCAATATCTAGGCATATTTATTTCGTGGCATCCTTAGTCTACAGCGTTGAACATCTTGAGAAGCTTCGTTCAGGGGTGGGAAGAAACGGTACCATCTGCTGCTTTCAAAACAAGTTTATTTACCATGTATCGGAACTCCACTCAGCTCTATACACATGGCACGTCTTTACGCCCACCAATAACTTATAAGCAGGCATATGCTTAAAACGACACATCTCAAACCACAACCCTAGGTTGCGACGCTCGACCTGCGAGGCCAAACTGACTAACGCTTGATGGGAGCATCCTTTGTTTACTTGGCACGGCAAGATCCTCCGCTACCAACCGGCTTAGGTGTACTTGTAGCTGCGGCAGTAGCGACCGGTGCGGGTGGAGGAGTACTGGCACCAGCAGGAGGAGCACTGGAGTTTCCAGCGTTGTTCTTGTTGTTGTTGTTGTTCAGAGGAGCTGTGCCGGCCCCAGAGGCAGCCGGAGCGGGAGCAGAAGCGGATCCAGATGCAGATGCGGATCCGGATCCCTTAGTGCCGCAACTTCCAACCGGTGGAGCAGACTTGTCAGATTTCGTATCGAGATCGGGGCCGGGGTCGGGGAAGACGACGTCCTTGCTCTCGGCGGTTGAGCAACCATTGCCGATGTTGGCAGTAAACATGGCAGGCCGGCTGCTGAAGGGGGTGGTATCACCACGAGCCTTGCGGATCTTGGGGGCACCGCCTCCAATGGTCACGGCGGCGCAGTTCATGTACATTTCGCGGTTGCCTAGGTTGTTGAACCAAGACCAGGCAAATAGGGCATTACCGGCGGGTGTGTCAGCAGGCACAGTAAAGTCGAAGCTCGACTCGCCCTGGAGAGGGCAGTTTCCAACGTACGAGTGGATGACTTTCCACGTCTTTCCGCTGTCAAATGAAAGAGACGCCTGACAACTGCCTCCGTTGTGGGAAGCAGTGCCGACGATGGTCATTTTGTAGGACTGACCTGGAGTCCAAGTCGCAACAGACTGGCCCTCAGGACTGCCATAGACACTGTGGTGTCCCTTGCAAGGGAAGTCGGAGCCGCTGGCCGAGAGAGGACTCGTCATGCTATTGTCCTCCTTCCCCTGGGGGGTGAATTTGTTGTACTTGGAGAGGAAAGGAGGAGGATCCTTCATCTGCATGTGAGCTGAGCCACAGGATGCAAATCCAATAATGGCGGCGATGACAGCGGGAAACGTCTTCATGTTGGCTACTTTTGGGGTGGTTGTTTTTTTCTCTCTAAAACAAAATGCTTGAGCTTGAGGGGAGAAGGAGTGTTGAATTTGGATTTGACGAGAAACCAGCTCGTGGTGCCAAAGTGGAAAACTTATAGACAAGAGAAGAGAAGAGAAGAGAAGAAAAAGTCTGTCAAAGACTGAGGATCCTATGTGCCGGGAGCTGTGAGGTGCAGATGAATGTGATCACGCTTCCATTGTGGACGAGGACTCAACCGACCTTTTATATTCCTCTGATAACTATCTCAAAGGGGGGCTGCGTGAATAAGTGCTGTGAACCGTCTGGTCCTGCAAAAATGTGAACCAGGGTTGGACGGTCAGTCAGGGGGAAAACCGTTAACGAAGCACGGACAACCAATTCAATGCCATTGACTATTCACACCGACGACAGACAATCAACAAACTGTGGGACTTGGCGTGAAGTGACTATTGTCCTCCCACACCCCTCGTTGCGCCGAATCACCAACGACAATCGTCGACCCACGACGACAGCACTTCGGACGTCTAAGGGTCTTGAAAGAGACGTGGCGTTTGAGTATTCGCACTGCTGGTCCAGGAGCTGTCCAGGAGCTGTCCAGGAGCTCGTCGATGGAGAGACGATCAACAGGCTTGGCCCCAGGGGGCGTGCGGCCTGTGGGCATCTTGTGGATCATTGTAGTACATCCAGCGTCTGTTGAAGAGGACATCTCGTACCATCCTTGTTGTCCTTGTCACGAGGACATGAGGGGAAAAAAAAAAAAAAAAAAAAAAAAAACACACACACACACACAAATCAAAGTGGCTATATTCACCAATATCCATAGCCTGACTCGTGAAATCTCTCACCCACCGAGACGAATCAAACAACGCTGCGTGCCGTAATCCGGCGACGACGCCAGATGGCCGCTAAACGGTCCAAGTTTCCGCATTTCTGAGAACAAGCTCTGTCCAAGCCCGACAAGACCCAAAAGAAAGTGTTTGGCAATTCCATGCAAGCAACACCACGGCGTGGATATGTTTGGTCTCTGTCTAACGGCAGGTTGGAAACACTAGGCCAGGCACGGCCAACATTGAACAAGTTCGGATGCGTTGCATTTTGCCGGCCGCATCGTGTATGCAAATCTGGTTGGTCGAGCCGCGGAAGCAGGGGCACTCCTTTCTTCCAATCCTCATCGTCCGTGGTCGCTGAATCGCTGAACAGTTGCAGCGGTGGCTTGCGCCTCCCAGTCAATCAGGTGTCAACTGGTTCAAAATGTTTGGCGCAAACGCCTGTGGCAACATTGTGTTTGGGCCAATGTTTGGGGAGGTCAGCCGGTCCCCAAGCAGACTCCTCACCATCCAATCAACGGTCCCGCGCCGCCTATCTTTGCCGCCGCTAACCCGCCGTCTGCCGCCATCAATTGCTGGTTTGAAACGCCGGCCAGCCTACTGCCCACCGCCAACCAGCAACCAGCAACCAGGAACCAGGAACCAGTGAATCGTCCCTTTATCCCGTCATCCATGTCCCTGCGTTTTACAGGGCTCGCTTTATTGTCAGCCGCTACATGTCACCTCGATCTCCGAGAAAGACTGCCAGAATTTAGCAGACACCCATCATCACTCTCTTAAATGTTTCTCATATATATGCTTCACATTCAACTTGTGCCTATGCTTGTGCCTGGGAGTTGGAGCCTCAGAGCTTCATGCGACTTTTCTCTCTTGAGTGTACAACTACTGTCTACCGGTCCAGGGTCCAGCTACCCGTCATCAATCCCTTGCTCTGTTGCCTACTCACCGCGTCCACCATACAACTATCCTAGCTTGACCCAGCTGCTGCAGAAGCCAATATCTCCATGTTCACGTCCGGGGTCGTTGGCGCCTAGGCGTTCAACTCCCAACCTTACCCCGATAAGATGTACTTCTGATACAAAACAATAGTTGATTGAGCGGTAAGCTGTTCATATAAACCCCCTGCCCTACCCTCCACAGCCCAATGTCCAAGACCAAAGCCCCATCCCGTGATAGAGGTACAAGCAAGGCAACGAGAAGTCGCCATTGCCATTGCTTGTGATGAGAAGGGACACGCTGCCGACTTTACAAGAAAAGCCGCCGCGAAGCTGCCAAACCACAGATACATCAGATAAAAAACTGCTCTACCCAAAAGTAGGCAGGGATATTATCCGCGCCCTGCTATGGCGTATACCAATACTCCATATCGCAACCAAATGATAGGATTCATCGGGAAAAGCCTCCGTCACATGCAATCCAGAGTTGAGATAAAAGATGAAAATAGTGCCGCCTGGATTGTGATAAACATTCCCTAAACTGTTTGTGTTGCTGTTGCATATAGCTGGTGCAACATTTAACGAGTTCCGTTGTATCATGTCGCAAGTTGTTAGATGAATCAGCCGATGCTCCCGCAATGGCCAACGGAGTAATCCTGTAAAAACCGACCATAACATGTGATAGCTCTTAACCTAGTCGGCTCATGCCTGTCGGCAATCTCGGCTGACGATTCCTTCGCTCATCACGGAAAACGTGATAGTAGAACCATATTACTTACACATAGCCGTGGTAGCCTCTGACTAGGAAAAGGTCGGCCAGCAGCGCCACGCCATGCCACGCGTTAAAACATCGAAAATGGGCAATATGGAAGAAGTCGTCACTGACTTGGTCCACTGGGTTGCCCTGGACCGTATGCAGGCTGGTTGTACTGCACATTGGGGCTCATGCCATACACTGGCTGGCCCTGTTGGGAGCCTTGATGCATCATGACCGGCGCAGTTGGGCGTCCTGGGCTGGGATAGCCACTACCGCCTGGACCTGGCTGTGGTGGCCCAGTTGGCGGCATGTACTGTGGATGACCACCATGGTACATCATCTGAGGAGCCGCAACCATTCCTTGGGGATGAATGAACTGCGGCTGCATGATCATGGGGCCTGCCATCTGGCTTTGCTGGGGTGGCACGTAATGAGGATTGTTGGAGAAACTGCGGTATTGTCCCATTTGTGGGTTGCTTGGGCCCATGAAAACCGGCTGCTGATATGGGACTTGGCCGGGATACGCAACTGGAAGCTGGCCCATACGCGGAGAGGCGAACGACTGAGCTGAGTTAGACGGCATCATCCGATGATCCTCAGTACCATACGGCGGAAGGGCCACCGGGCCATGCTGTGGTGCGTGCATTTGCATAGGTGCCATATGTGGCGACTGTCGAGTTCCCAAGCCATGAGCACCATGCTGAAGGTGAAATGGAAGCTGGTGTTGGTGTGGCATCTGAGGAACAACATGTGTGGGGTTAGGGGTCGCTGCCAGCGAGGGGCCGTTGAAGGGCTGTCGGTCAAAGTGTTCCGTATATGTGAGATGCATGGTCGATTCGGGCTTTTCATCATCCTTCAACTGTCGCCAAGTTGGTAAGGTATCGAATGATGGACGTAATCCGCCATTGTCGTCCCAGTTACGACCTGCGGGAGGTGCCACAGTTTTGATGTGTGACAGAATCAAGCACTTACTCACATCCACCTTCTTCGTTTTACGGCGGATAACGGGTGTTTGTGGTGCGGAGGGAACGGGACTTTCAGCCACATGGTTGACCGAAGTCCGTGGGCTAGAGCCAGCACTGGCATGGCTATTGGGATTGAAGGCAGCAGCAAAGGGGCTAGGCCTAAATTCATGGCTGTTGGGATTCAACTTGGCGCCCATCTGACCAGGAGCCCCGCTCAGTCGCCTGTTAAAGCCAGAATCGACATTGCCAGATGGGCCGGTAGGGGGAGCACGCATTTCATGGCCGAGACCATGTGGCGTAGTGGCAGGTGGCTGCGAATATCTTTGCTGTTCGACATTGCGAAGCCTTTGAGCAAGGTTCCCGGTCTGCTGCTGAGGGGTGCCATGTTGCGGACCTCGGTTGTTCCGGTAAGGTTGGGCATGGTACGGCTGCTGTGGAAATTGCTGGCGAGGTGCAGTATGCCTGCTACCGTTGCCAGCAGGTCCAGACGCCTGTGGTATCGCAGCACTTCGTGACGAACGACCATCACCTGGATTAGCAGAAGTGTTGGTGTCAGGAGTCTTGGCCGTTACGGAGTCCTTGACGGACTGGCCCTTATCCTTGATACCAGAATCCGCCTTGGTCTTAGCCATCTCCTCCGCATTTTTCATGGCCTTTGCTTGGATTTCCTTTTGTTTTGCGGGGTCTTTTGCAATAATCGACACAAGGTCTGTGGGGACCGGGGTTGACAGCTTGAAACTACTAGCGAATTTCTTCAGTTCTGTCAACTTGACTTCCTTATCAGCTCGGGCCTTGTTGTTCCGAGCCTTCTCTAAATTGATGCGCTGCTGGGACGCAAAGCTCTTGAACTCTTTCAATACGTCAAGCTCGACAGTAGCTGTAGCGCTTGGAGTGGGTTCCTTTGGTTGGGAGGACGCATTCCGGGAGGAAGTAGAAGATGAACCGGTAGTGGTCACCTTCTCCGTGGGTTTAGCTTCGGGTGTCTTAGATTCGGCAGGAAGGTTCAAAGCAGGGGAAGGCTTGGACTCCGTAGGCGTTTCTTCCGTAGTCTTGGGCGTATACGCCTTCGGAGGCTCTGCTCTCACAGGAACGCCATTCTTAACCCCCTCTGAGGCTTGTGACCATGTTTGCTCCGTCGAAGCGGCCTGTCTCTTGACAGGAGCTTTGAGTTGTGATGAAATAATAGCCGGGTCAACAGGTGCGCCTTTCACGGTCGACTGAGATGTAGGTGCTCGTTTTGCGGGAGGCGTGTACCTGTTTTCTCGGCTACCTCCAGATAAGGGAGGGAAGTCCTGGCGGGAAACACCACTGTACCTGTAGTCAATGTAGTCAGTAACCCGTTTGTGACTTGATATAGTAACAGAGCTTAAAACATACTTGTCTTCTTCGTTTTGTCCCCCAGCACCGGTACCACCAGCATAGTCCATTACGCGCTCCTCAGCAACATGGGCAGTTGATGCAACGCTACGCTCGATTTCTTTGGCCTTCCTGTCGGCAGCGGCCACT